ACCAGGAGGAGTGGACGAGGAGGAAGAGGAAGACGAGGAAGAGGAGAGAAGGAAGAGGAAGACGCGGCTGCTCCCGCCGAGGCCGAAGGCCCCCCTCCCCCCCAAATTCCAGGCCCGTTTTAACCGGGGGTTCTGAGACCCTCTCCCTTCCCCAAATCCCCAAACCCTTCTCTCCCCCCTCCCTCAGAGCGCGGCGCGAGGGGCCCGGTTGGGTGAGGGGGAAAAGGCCCTGCCGCGACAGAGCCGTGATTTTCCTGAGGGGGAGGGCGGGAGGGGGCTGGGAGTGAGGGGAAGGAAGGGAAGGGAAAGGGGAGGCTGAGGGAGGGGAAACCAATCGGGGTTTTTTTTTTTTTTTAAAACTCTCGGAGGAAGGGGGGTTGTTTTGTTTTTTTATTTCGGGGGTGGGTGTTTCGGGGTTTTTTTGGGTTTTTTTTGTTGTTTTTTTTGAAATTCGGGGCGGACTCACCGTGAGGGCCTCGAGCGGCGCCCGGCGCGGGGTCTCCCAGGCGCCCCTGCACGGGGCGGGGGTGGAAACCCCGCCCCTTTTCCCTCCCCCTCAGCGCAGGACCCCGCTTTTTTAGCGGTTCGCCGCGCCGCCTGCTCCGAAATGTTAATAAAAACCCCTCCAAAATCCGACTAAACGGAATAAAAAAAGAGGGAAAAGGGTTGGAGTTCACGGCAAGGAAAGGGGAGTCACTCCCTAAAAAAAATAAGGTGGGAGGGGTTTAATTTGCATGAACCGCGCCCCGTTCAGCCGCGGCGGGACAGGCAGTGGGACGGACACGCCCCTCCCGAAGAAGTCGCCTCAGGAAAGACCCCCCCCTCAAAACCCCTCCCTCCGGGGTGATTTGCATAACCACGCCCACTGGGTGTGCGTTCCATCGGAAACCACGCCCATATATTAGCATAAACACGCCCCCGTGATGGTTATTTGCATAACCACGCCCATCAATGACAACTATGTGTCTAAACCACGCCCACATATCGTAGATTAGCATAGTCACGCCCCCTCGGATCTTAATTTGCATAACCACGCCCACTAATGCCACATAAATACATAAACCACGCCCACCACGTTAATATTAACATAAATAGACCGCTTTGGCCGATAATTTGCATAACCACACCCACTAATGACAAATAAAGGCCTAAACCACGCCCACCATGTTAATATTAGCATAAATACGCCTTCTTAGCCGATAATTTGCATAACCACGCCCAGTAAAGCCATAAATGGGTATAAACCACGCCCACCCGACCGATATTAGCATGGACACGCCCCCTTGGTGGACAATTTGCATAACCGCGCCAATTATGTCGATTATTAGCATGAACCACGCTCATTAAGGGATCAAACGACCCAGGCAGCGCTCATTTGCATAACCACGCCCCCTGAGCGGGCGCTAATCCCCGGAAATCCTAAAAATCACCTAAACCCCCCAAACTGCCCCAAAATGTCCCAAAATCCTCCCAAAAAATCCCTCGAAAATCTCCCCCCAAAACTCCGAAAAATCCCCGAAAATTCCCCGAAAAATCCCTGAAAATCTTAAAATCACCTAAACCCCAAACTGCCCCAAAATGTCCCAAAATCCTCCCAAAAATCCCAGAAACTCCACAAAACTCCGAAAAATCCCCGAAAATTCCCCAAAAATTCCCTGAAAAATCCCTGAAAATCCTAAAAATCCCCGAAAATCCTAAAAATCACCTAAACCCCCCAAACTGCCCCAAAACGTCCCAAAATCCTCCCAAAATCGCCCCCCCAACCACCGAAAAATCCCTTAAAAAACGAACTCGAACTCCCTCTGAATCACCCCCAAAACTCCTCCAAACCACCTCTTAACACCCCCCAAAAATCGCCTAAACCCTAAAAATCACCCAAACCCCCCAAATTGCCCCAAAATGTCCCAAAATCTCCAAAAAATGCCCCAAAATCCCCCGGAGGGTCCTCCCGCCCGCCAGGGGGCGCCTCTCTGTTGGGGGCCAGAGCAGAAGAGTCCCGAGGGGGGCGCTCCTCGTGCGCTCTCACCCAATGAGCGTCCTGCGGGTCACGTTGACGGAGGAGGGGGCTCCCAAGATGGCGGCGTCGATGGCGGCGCCGGGGCCGGAGAAGGGAAGGGCGAGAAGGAGAAGGAGAAGGAGGAGGAGGCGAAGCGGCTCCTCAGCGAGGCCGACAGGAAGGTCCGCGGGGCCTCCTCTTTCCTCGGGGCGCTCTTCGGGCGTCCTGAACGGGGGAACTGGGGGGTTTTGGGGGTCCCTGAGGGCTTTGGGGGTCCCTGAGGGGGTGTCGGATTGGGGGATTAGAGGGGATTTAGGGGATTGAGGGTCCTGGGTGGGATTTGGGGGTCTGGGGTTGATTTGGGGGTCCTTGAGGGGTTTTGGGGGGTTAGGGAGAATTGGGGGGTTGGGGAGAACTGGGGGTCCCTGAGGGTTTGGAGGGGTCTGGGATTGACTTTTGGGATCCTGGGGTGGATTTGGGGGTTGGGATTTATTTGGGGGTCCTGAGGGGCAATTCTGGGTTCCTGATTTGATTTGGGGGTCCTGAGAGGAGTTTGAGGGGTCTGGGTTTGATTTGGGGGGTCCCTGAGGGGCTTTGGGGGTCCCTGAGGGGCTTTGGGGGTCCTGGGGGATTTGGGGGTCTTGGGCTTGATTTGGGGGTCCCTGAGGGGCTCTGGGGGTCCCAAAGTTGATTTTTTGGATTCTGGGGCGTTTTTGGGGGTCCTTGAGGGGCTTTGGGGGTCCTTGAGGGGGTCTGGGGGTCCTGGGGGATTTGGAGGTCCTGGGTTTGATTTGGGGGTCCCTGAGGGGCTTTGGGGGTCCTAAAGGTGTTTTTTTGGATCCTGGGGGTTTTGGGGTCCTGAGGGGCTTTGGGGTCCTAAAGTTGATTTTTGGATCCTGGGGGTATTTGGGGGTCCCTGAGGGGCTCTGGGGGTCCCTGAGGGGCTTTTGGGGGTCCCTGAGGGGCTTTGGGGGTCCCTGAGGGGCTTTGGGGGTCCCAAAGTGATTTTTGGATCCTGGGGGTTTGGGGGTCCCTGAGGGGCTTTGGGGGTCCCTGAGGGGCGTTGGGGTCCTAAAGTTGATTTTTGGATCCTGGGGATATTTTGGGGGTCCTGAGGGCTTTGGGGGTCCCTGAGGGGCTTTGGATGGGGTCCGAGGGGTCTGAGTTGAGGGCTTTTGGGGTCCCTGAGGGGCTTTGGGGTCCCTGAGGGCTTCTTGGGGTCCCTGAGGAGCTTTGGGGGTCCCAAAGTTGACTTTTGGATCTTGGGGGGTATTTGGGGGTCCCTGAGGAGCTTTGGGGGTCCCTGAGGGGTTGTCATTGATTGAGGGGGGGGAGGGGGGATTTTGGAGGGTTTTTCCCACCCCTAATTCCCATTTTTCCCATTTTTCCAGGGGTTTTTCCCATCTCTGACCATTCCTGGACCCCCAATCCCCCTTTTTCCCACTCCTAAATCTGATTTTTTTCCATTTTTTCCTGGTTTTTTTTCACTTTTGAATCCCCTGGATTCCCAATCTTCCTTTTCTCCCATTCCCTGATTCCCTATTTCATTCCCATTTTTCCAGGCATTTTTCCCATCTCGGAGCCATTCCTGGACCTCCCCAATCCCCCTTTTTTCCACCCCTAAATCTGATTTTTTTCCATTTTTTCCTGGTTTTTTTTTCACTTTTGAATCCCCCTGGAACCCCAACCTTCTTTTTCCCCTCCCTAATTCCCATTTTTCCCATTTTTCCAGGGGTTTTTCCAGGCTGGAGGAGCCCTGTGAGCCCCCCTGGATTCCCAATCTTCCTTTTTCCCATCCCTAATTCCCATTTTTCCAGGGTTTTCCCATCTGTACCATTCCTGACCCCAATCCTCTTTTTCCTTCCTAATTCCCATTTTTCCCATTTTCCAGGGTTCTTTCGGCTGAGGAGGCCTGTGAGCCTCCTGATTCCTAGACCCTTTTTCCTTCCCTAATTCCCATTTTTCCCATTTTTCCAGGGGTTTTTCCCATCTCTGACCATTCCTGGACCCCCAAACCCCCTTTTTCCCTTCCCTAATTCCCATTTTTCCCGTTTTTCCAGGGGTTCTTCCCGGCTGGAGGATGCCTGTGAGTGCTACACCCGAGCTGCCAACCTCTTCAAGATGGCCAAGAACTGGAGTGGTGGGTCCTGAGCCCCCAAATCCTCGGGAATGGGCCCAAAATTCCTTGGGAATGGGCCCAGAATTCCTGGGAATAAGCCCCAAAATCTATCAGGAATGGGGCCCCAAAATTCCTTGGGAATGAGCCCCAAAATCCCTCAGGAATGAGCCCCAAAATTCCTTGGGAATGGGCCCAGAATTCCTGGGAATGGCTCCTCAAAATTCCTCACAAATGGGCCCCAGAATCCCTTGGGAATGAGCCCCAAAATCCTTTGGGAATGAGCCCCAAAATCCCTTGGGAATGGTGCCAGAATTCCCAGGAATAGGCACCCAAAATTCCTCACAAATTGTCCCCAGAATCCCTTGGGAATGGGCCCCAAAATCCTTTTGGAATGGGGCCCAGAATTCCCAGGAATGAGCCCCAAAATCTGTCAGGAATGGGCCTCAAAATCCCTCGGGAATGGGCCCAAAATTCCTTGGGAATGAGCCCCAAAATCTGTCAGCAATGGGCCCAAAATTCCTGGGAATGGCCCTTAAAATTCCTCACAAATTGTCCCCAAAATACCTTGGGAATGGGCCCCAGAATTCCCGGGAATGAGCCCCAAAATCTGTCAGGAATGGGCCTCAAAATCCCTCAGGAATGGGCTTCAAAATCCTTTTGAAATGGGTCCAGATGAATCTCAAAATCCCTTGGGAATGGGCCCAAAATTCCTGGGAATGGGGCCCCAAAATTCCTTGGGAATGATCCCCAAAATTCCCAGGAATGAGCCTCAAAATCCCTCGGGAATGGGCCCAAAATTCCTTGGGAATGAGCCCCAAAATCTGTCAGGAATGGGCCCAAAATCCCTTGGGAATGGGCCCCAAAATCCTTTTGGAATGGGCCCAGAATTCCTAGGAATGGGGCCCCAAAATCCCTTGGGAATGGGCCCCAAAATTACTTGGGAATGGTGCCAGAATTCCCAGGAATAGGCACCCGAAATTCCTCACAAATTGATCCCAAAATTCCTTGGGAATGGGCCCCAAAATCCTTTTGGAATGGGCCCAGAATTCCCGGGATTGGGGCCCCAAATCACTTGGGAATGGCTCCCAGAATTCCCAGGAATGGGCCCAAAATTCCCGGGAATGGCCCTCAAATCCCTCAGGAATGGACCCTAAAATTCTTCAGGAATGAGCTGAGAATTCCCAGGAATGGTCCCTAAAATCCTTCAGGAACGGACCCCAGAATTCCCGGGAATGGCTCCTCAAAATTCCTCAGAAATGGTCAATAAATCCCTTGGGAATGGGCCCAAATTTCTGGGAATTCTCATGGAATTCCCACTGTGGAATGACATCCCCTGGGTGGGAGGGGAATTCCAGGGGCTGAGAATGATCCAGGAACACCAGGAATGATCTGGGAATTCCGGGAATAACCCGTTATCCGTGTTTTCCAGAGGCAGGGAACGCCAGCACTGACCCCTCTTCTTGTTTTCCAAGGGCTAGGAGTGATCCTTGTCCCTTTTCCAGGGGCTGGGAACGCTGGAAATGATGTGGAAAAGCTGGGAATGACCCCTGTGAGCATTCCAGAGGCTGGGAATTCTGGGAATAACTCATTATCCTTGTTTTCCAGAGGCAGGGAATGCCAAAAATGACCCATTATTCCTCTTTTCCAGGGGCTGAGAACGATCCCTGTCCCTTTTCCAGGGGCTGGGAACGCTGGAAATGATGTGGAAAAGCTGGGAATGATCCCTGTGAGCATTCCAGAGGCTGGGAATTTTGGGAATGACCCATTATCCGTGTTTTCCAGAGGCAGGGAATGCCAAAAATGACCCATTATTCCTCTTTTCCAGGGGCTGAGAACGATCCCTGTCCCTTTTCCAGGGGCTGGGAATGCTGGAAATGATGTGGAAAAGCTGGGAATGATTTCTGTGAGCATTCCAGAGGCTGGGAATTCCAGGAATAATCCATTATCCCTATTTTTTAGGGATTGGAAGTGCTAGAAACGATTCATTATCCCTCTTTTCCAGGGGCTGGGAACGATCCTTATCCCTTTTCCAAGGCCTGGGAACGTTGGGAATGACCCCTGTGAGCATTCCAGAGGCTGGGAATTCCGGGAATGACCCGTTCTCCGTGTTTTCCAGAGGCTGGGAGCGCTTTCTGCCGAGCTTCCCGACTGCACGAGCAGCTGCAGAGCAAACCCGACGCCGCCTCCCGGCTCGTGGACGCCGCCAACGCCTTCAAAAAGTGCGACCCACAGGGTAGGAAAACCATTCCCAAGGGAATTCCCAGGATTTGGGGTCTTGGGAGGGGCTGGGAGGTGGGAATTGGCTCAAAATCCCACAAAAATCCTGTTAAAATTGCACAAAATCCCATTAAAATTGCATAAAATTCACTTAAAATCCCTCAGAATCCTTCAAAAAGTGCGACCCTCAGGGTAGGAAAAACATTCCCAAAGGAATTCCCGGGATTTGGGGTCCTGGGAGGGGCTGGGAGGTGGAAAATGTCCCAAAATCTTACAAAAATCCTGTTAAAATTGCATAAAATCCCATTAAAATTGCATAAAACTCACTTAAAATCCCTCAGAATCCTTCAAAAAGTGCCACCCACAGGGTAGGGAGAAACATTCCCAAGGGAATTCCCGGGATTTGGGGTCCTGGAGGGGTTTGGGAGTCAGGAATCATCCCAAAATCCTGTAAAATCCCATTAAAGTCCCATAAAATCCCATTAAAATTGCATAAAACTCACTTAAAATCCCTCAGAATCCTTCAAAAAGTGCCACCCACAGGGTAGGGAGAAACATTCCCGAGGGAATTCCCGGGATTTGGGGTCCTGGGAGGGGCTGGGAGGTGGAAAATGTCCCAAAATCCCACAAAAATCCTGTAAAAATCACTCAAAATCCCACTAAAATTGCACAAAATCCCATTAAAATGACATAAAACTCACTTAAAATCCCTCAGAATCTTCAAAAAAAATGGTTCTGGAAGGGGAGGATCGACATTCCCAAAGGAATTCCCGGGATTTGGGGTCCTGGGAGTCGGGAATTGTCCCAAAATCGCATAAAATCACATTAAAATCCCATAAAATCCTGTTAAAATTGCACAAAATTCACTTAAAATCTTTCAGAATCCTTCAAAAAGTGCCACCCACAGGGTAGGGAGAAACATTCCCAAAGGAATTCCCGGGATTTGGGGTCCTGGGAGTCGGGAATTGTCCCAAAATCCCATTAAAATCGCATAAAATCTCGTTAAAATTGCACAAAATCCCATTAAAATCGCATGAAATTTACTTAAAATCCCTCAGAATCCTCCAAAAAGGGGGTTCTAGAAGGGGAGGATCGACATTCCCAAAGGAATTCCTGGGATTTGGGGTCCTGGGAGGGGCTGGGAGTCGGGAATTGTCCCAAAACCCCACAAAATTGTGTTAAAATCACTCAAAATCCTGTTAAAATTGCACAAAATTCACCTGAAATCTCCCAAATCCCTCCAAAAAATCCAATCCAGAGGGTGAGGATTGACATTCCCGAAGGAATTCCCGGGATTTGGGGTCCTGGGAGGGGCTGGGAGGTGGGAAATGTCCCAAAATCCCATCAAATCCCATTAAAATTCCACTGAAAATGCACAAAGTTCACCTGGAATCCCTCAATGCCTTCAGAAAGTGCCACCCACAGGGTAGGGAGAAACATTCCCAAGGGAATTCCCGGGATTTGGGGTTCTGGGAGGGGCTGGGAGGTGGGAATTGGCTCAAAATCCCACAAAAATCCTGTTAAAATTGCACAAAATCCCATTAAAATGGCATAAAATTCACTTAAAATCCCTCAGAATCCTTCAAAAAGTGCGACCCTCAGGGTAGGAGAAACATTCCCAAGGGAATTCCTGGGATTTGGGGTCCTGGAGGGGTTTGGGAGTCGGGAATTGTCCCAAAATCCCATAAAATTGTGTTAAAATCCCATAAAATCCCATTAAAATAGCATAAAACTCACTTAAAATCCCTCAGAATCCTTCAAAGATGTGGATCCAGAGCGTGAGGAGCAGCATTCCCAAAGGAATTCCTGGGATTTGGGGTCCTGGGAGGGGCTGGGAGATGGAAATCCCATAAAATGGCACAAAATCCCATTAAAATTGCACAAAATCCCATTAAAATCCCCCCAAAATCCCCTCAAAACCCCCCAAAATTCCCAAAAATCCCCCCAAAATTCCCTCAAATCCCCACAAAATTCCCTCAAATCCTCCCAAAATTCCCTCAAATCCCCCCAAAATTCCCCCAAAATCCCCTTCCCTCGGGAATTCCCAACAATTCCACCCCCAGAGCCCCCCAAAACCCCCCCAAAAATCTGGGAATTCCAGCCGGAATTTCCCCCCCCAGGCCTGGAGGGGGCTCTTTTTTCCCTCTTTTCCCTTGGAATTTGGCTCCCAACCCTTTGGAATTTGGCTCCCAGCCCTCTGGACTTTGGCTCCCCTCCGGAATTCCGGGATTCCCGTGGATTCCGAGCAGATGGAGCCGCAGTTTTTGGGTGGAATTCCCGCGGTTTTGGCTTCCGGCGGAATCTGCGGGGGCGGCTCCAAAGTGCCTGGAATTTTGGGGGCTTTAATTCCAAAGGTTTTGGGATTCCAGTCCTGGGAATTTTGGACCCTCATTCCAAAGATTTTGGGGTTCCAACCCCTGGAATTTTGGGGCTCCAATCCCTGGAATTTTGGGGCTTTAATTCCAAAGGTTTTGGGATTCCAGTCCCGGGAATTTGGGGGCTTTAGTTCCAAAGATTTTGGGGCTCTGATCCCAAAGATTTTGGGGTTCCAATCCCTGGAATTTTGGGGTTTTAATTCCAAAGGTTTTGAGGTTTCAGTCCCTGGAATTTTAGGGCTCCAATCCCTGGAATTTTTGGGCCCTCATTCCAAAGGTTTTGGGACTCCAGTCCCGGGAATTTTGGGGATTTAATTCCAAAGATTTTGGGGTTCCAGTGCCTGGAATTTTGGGGTTCACATCCCTGGAATTATAGGCCTTCATTCCAAAGATTTTGGGGTTCCAATCCCTGGAATTTTGAGGCTCCAATCCCTGGAATTTTGGGCCCTCATTCCAAAGATTTTGGGGTTCCAATCCCTGGAATTTTGGGGTTCAAATCATTGGAATTTTGGGGCTCCAATCCTTGGAATTTTTGGGGTCTGATCCCAAAGATTTTGGGGTTCCAGTCCCTGGAATTTTGGGGCTCCAATCCCTGGAATTTTGGGGCCCTCATTCCAAAGGTTTTGGGGTTCCAATCTCTGGAATTTTGGGGCCCTCATTCCAAAGATTTTGGGGTTCCAACCCCTGGAATTTTGGGGTTCAAATCCTTGGAATTTTGGGGCTCCAATCCCTGGAATTTTGGGGCCCTCATTCCAAAGATTTTGGGGTTTCAGTCCCAGGAATTTTGGGGCTTTAATTCCAAAGGTTTTGGGGCTCCGATCCCAAAGATTTTGGGTTTCCAATCCCTGGAATTTTGAGCCCTAATTCCAGAGATTTTGGGGTTCCAATTCCTGGAATTTCTCCCTTTTCCAGGGGCTGTTTCCTCCCTCTTTTCCCACTTTTCCAGAGGATATTTTTCCCCTTTCCCCCGCATTCCAGGGGCTGTTTTTCCCACTTTTCCAGAGGCAGTTTCCCCCTTTTTCCCTGCATTCCAGAGGGTGTTTTTCCCCCTCTTCCCCACATTCCAGAGGGTGTTTTTCCCCCTTTTCCAGTGGCTGTTTTTCCCAGTTTTCCAGTGGCTGTATCCCCCTTTTTCCCTGCATTCCAGAGGGTGTTTTGCCTCCTTTCCCCACATTCCAGAGGATGTTTTTCCCACTTTTCCAGGGGCTGTTTTTCCCACTTTTCCAGCAGGTTTTTCCTCCCTCTTTTTCCACTTTTCCAGGGGCTGTTTCTCCCCTTTTCCCCCCCACATTCCAGGGGCTGTTTCTGCCACTTTTCCAGGAGCTGTTTCCCCCTTTTCCCCTGCATTCCAGAGGGTGCTTTTCCTACTTTTCCAGGGGCTGTTTTCCCTCTTTTCCCCGCATTCCAGAGGGTGTTTTTCCCCCTTTTCCAGAGCCTGTTTTTCCCACTTTTCCAGGGGCAGTTTCCCCCTCTTCCCCGCATTCCAGAGGGTGTTTTTCCCACTTTTCCAGGGGCAGTTTCCCCTTTTCCCCTGCATTCCAGAGGGTATTTTTCCCCCCTTTTCCCCTCATTCCAGAGGGAGTTTTTCCCACTTTTCCAGGGGCTGTTTTTCCCACTTTTCCAGAGGGTATTTCCCCCTTTTTTCCCCCCTTTTCCAGGGGCTGTTTCCCCCCCTCTTCCCACTTTTCCAGGGGCTGTTTTTCCCACATTCCAGAGGGTGTTTTTCCCCCTTTTTCCCACATTCCAGAGGGTGTTTTTCCCCCTTTTTCCCACATTCCAGAGGGTGTTTTTCGCCCTTTTCCAGAGGGTGTTTTTCCCACTTTTCCAGCAGGTTTTTCCTCCCTCTTTTCCCACTTTTCCAGAGGGTGTTTTTCCCCCTTTTTCACCGCATTCCAGAGGGTGTTTTTCCCCCTTTTCCAGGGACTGTTTTTCCCACTTTTCCAGTGGCTGTTTCCTCCCTCTTTTCCCACTTTTCCAGGGGCAGTTTCCCCCTTTTCTCCCACTTTTCCAGGGGCTGTTTCCCCCTTTTCCCCTGCATTCCAGAGGGTGTTTTTCCCCCTTTTCCAGGGGGTGTTTTTCCCACTTTTCCAGGGGCAGTTTCCCCCTTTTCCCTGCATTCCAGAGGGTGTTTTCCCCCTTTTTTCCCACTTTTTTCCAGGGGCAGTTTCCCTCTTTTCCCACTTTTCCAGAGGGTGTTTTTCCCCTTTTTCCCCTCATTCCAGAGGGTGTTTTCCCCACTTTTCCAAGGGCTGTTTCCTCCCTCTTTTCCCACATTCCAGAGGGTGTTTTTCCCCTTCTTCCCTGCATTCCAGGGGCTGTTTTTCCCACTTTTCCAGAGGCAGTTTCCCCCTCTTTCCTGCATTCCAGAGGGTGTTTTTCCCCCTTTTCCAGGGGCTGTTTTTCCCACTTTTCCAGCGGGTTTTTCCTCCCTCTTTTCCCACTTTTCCAGGGGCGGTTTCCCTCTTTCCCCCGCATTCCAGAGGGTGTTTTTCCCCCTTTTCCAGCAGGTTTTGCCTCCCTCTTTTCCCACTTTTCCAGGGGCTGTTTCCTCCCTCTTTTCCCACTTTTCCAGAGGATGTTTTCCCCCTTTTCCCAGTTTTCCAGGGGCAGTTTCCCCCTCTTCCCCTGCATTCCAGAGGGTGTTTTTCCCCCTTTTCCAGCAGGTTTTTCCTCCCTCTTTTCCCACTTTTCCAGAGGGTGTTTCCCCCCCCCCGCATTCCAGAGAGTGTTTTCCCCATTTTTCCAGGGGCTGTTTCCTCCTTCTTTTCCCACTTTTCCAGAGGGTGTTTTTCCCCCTTTTGCCCCGCATTCCAGAGGGTGTTTTTCCCACTTTTCTAGCAGGTTTTTCCTCCCTCTTTTCCCACTTTTCCAGAGGATGTTTTCCCCCCTTTTCCCCACATTCCAGAGGGTGTTTTTCCCCCTCTTCCCCTGCATTCCAGAGGGTGTTTTTCCCACTTTTCCAGGGGCTGTTTTTCCCACTTTTCCAGAGGGTATTTTCCCTTTTTTTTCCCACTTTTCCAGGGGCAGTTTCCCCCCTTTTCCCCACATTCCAGAGGGTGTTTTTCCCACTTTTCCAGCAGGTTTTTCCTCCCTCTTTTCCCACTTTTCCAGGGGCAGTTTCCCCCTTTTCCCCACATTCCAGAGGGTGTTTCCCCCCTTTTTTCCCACATTCCAGAGGGTGTTTTTCCCACATTCCAGAGGGTGTTTTTCCCCCTTTTTCCCACATTCCAGAGGGTGTTTTTCCCTCATTCCAGAGGGTGTTTTCCCCACATTCCAGAGGGTGTTTTTCCCCCTTTTCCCCACATTCCAGAGGGTGTTTTTCCCCCTTTTCCCCACATTTCAGAGGGTGTTTTTCCCCCTTTTCCCCACATTCCAGAGGGTGTTTTTCCCCCCTTTCCCCCACATTCCAGAGGGGGTTTTCCCCACATTCCAGAGGGTGTTTTTTCCTCTTTTCCCCACATTCCAGAGGGTGTTTTTCCCCCTTTTTCCCCACATTCCAGAGGGTGTTTTCCCCTCATTCCAGAGGGTGTTTTCCCCCTTTTCCCCTGCATTCCAGAGAGTGTTTTTCCCACATTCCAGAGGGTGTTTTTCCCACATTCCAGAGGGAGTTTTCCCCCTTTCCCACCGTTTCCCCCCCTGTTTTCCAGAGGCCGTGTCGTGCCTGCTCCGCGCCATCGACATCTACACCGACATGGTGAGCCCTTCCCTCCCTTCCCACGGAATTCCCAGCAGGAATTTCCCCTCCAGGGGGGGTTCTGCTCCCTCTGGGATGGCTTTTCCCGGTTTTTTTTTGGGATAATCCCGGATTTTCCCCCCTGGCAGGGCCGGTTCACGGTGGCCGCCAAGCAGCACGTGGCCATCGCCGAGATCTACGAGGGCGACCTCGTCGACGTCCACAAGGTCAGCCCGGGGATTCCCGGGAAAAACGGCTCGGGAATGCCGGGAATTCCCACCCTGGCAGCTTGGGAATCTTCCCCCCAAAAAAATTCCTGGAAAAATCCAGCCTGGAACGGCCCAAAATCCCGGGATTTGGAGCTTTTTTTTGGGGCTCCGATTGTGAAGGGTTTGGGGTTCGAATCCTTGGAATTTTGGGGGTCAAATCCTTGGAATTTTGGGGGTCAAAACCTTGGAATTTTAGGCTCTAATTCCAAAGATTTTGGGGCTCCAATCCCTGGAATTTGGGGGTTCAAATCCCTGGAATTTTGGGGCTCAAATCCTTGGAATTTCAAGGCTCTGATCCCGAAGATTTTGGGGTTCCAATCCCTGGAATTTCGGGGTTCAAATCCTTGGAATTTCGGGGCTCTGATTCCAAAGATTTGGGGTTCCAATCCCTGGAATTTTGGGGTTCCAATCCCTGGAATTTTGGGGTTCCAATCCCTGGAATTTTGGGGCTCAAATCCTTGCAGTTTTGGGGCTCTGATTCCAAAGATTTTGGGGCTCCAAACCTTGGAATTTTGGGGTTCCAATCCCTGGAATTTGGGGCCCTCATTCCAAAGGTTTTGGGGTTCCAATGCCTGGAATTTTGGGGTTCCAATCCCTGGAATTTTGGGGTTCAAATCTTTGGAATTTTGGGGCTCTGATTCCAAATATTTGGGGCTCCAATCCCTGGAATTTTGGGGCTCCAATCCCTGGAATTTTGGGGCTCCAATCCCTGGAATTTTGGGGTTCAAATCCTTGGAATTTTGGGGCTCTGATTCCAAATATTTGGGGCTGCAATCCCTGGAATTTTTGGATTCCAATCCCTGGAATTTGGGGGTTCCAATCCCTGGAATTTGGGGTTCAAATCCCTGGAATTTTGGGGCTCAAATCCTTGCAGTTTTGGGGCTCTGATTCCAAAGATTTTGGGGCTCCAAACCTTGGAATTTTGGGGTTCAAATCCCTGGAATTTTGGGGTTCAAATCCCTGGAATTTTGGGGCTCCAATCCCTGGAATTTTGGGGCTCCGATCCCAAAGATTTTGGGGCTTTATTCTCATTTTATTGGGTTTTATCCAGGTTTAATCAGGTTTTATTGGGCTTTATTGAGTTTTATCCTCATTTTATGGGGTTTTATTCTCATGTTATCTGCTCTTATCCAGGTTTTATCCAGGTTTAATCAGATTTTATTGGCTTTTATCCTCATTTTATTGGCTTTTATCCAGGTTTTATCCAGCTTTAATCAGGTTTTATTGACTTTTATTCTCATTTTGTTGGGTTTTATCCAGGTTTCATTCAGGTTTAATCAGGTCTAATTGGGTTTTATTGAGTTTTATTCTCATTTTATTGGGTTTTATCCAGGTTTTATCCAGGTTTTATCAGGTTTTATTGGGTTTTATTGGGTTTTATTCTCATTTTATTGAGTTTTATCCAGGTTTTATCCAGGTTTTGTTTGGTTTTATCCTCATTTTATCAGTTTTTATCCCAGTTTAACCCACTTTTATCCAGGTTTTATTCTCATTTTATCTGGTTTTGTCCAGGTTTAATCAGATTTTATCCAGTTTTATCCCATTTTATCCAGTTTTAGGCAGCTTTTATCATCTTTTTATCCAACTTTATCCAGTTTTATCCCCCTTTTCTGTCCCCTTCTCCCCTTTTCCCATTTTTTCCCGTTTTTTTCCCATTTTCTCCTGTTCTGATCCCTTTTTTCCCATTTTCCCCCATTTTTTCCCATTTTCTCCCGTTCTGATCCCATATTTTCCTTTTTCCCCATGTTTTTTCCCATTTTTTCCCATTTTCTCCCATTTTTTCCTGGTTTTTTCCCATTTTCTCCCATTCTGATCCCATTTTTCCCCATTTTTTCCTGTTTTTTTCCCATTTTTTCCCATTTTCCCCCCGTTTTTCCCCATTTTTCCCCCGTTCTGATCCCATTTTTTCCCATTTTTCCCCATTTTTTTTCCTGTTTTTTCCCATTTTCTCCCATTTTTTCCCATTTTCCCCCATTCTGATCCCATTTTTTCCCATTTTCCCCCATTTTTTTCCCATTTTCTCCCATTCTGACCCCATTTTTTCCCATTTTTCCTCGTCTTTTTCCTGTTTTTTCCCATTTCCCCCCATTTTTTCCTGGTTTTCCCCCATTCTGATCCCATTCCCATTTTTTCCCGTTTTTTTTCCCATTTCCCCCATTTTTTCCCATTTTCCCCCCATTCTGATCCCATTTTTTCCCCTTTTTTTCTCATTTTCTCCCATTCTGATCCCATTTTTTCCCATTTTCCCCCACTTTTTCCCATTTTTCCCCCATTCTAATCCCGTTTTTTCCCCTTTTTTTCCCATTTTCCCCCATTCTGATCCCCTTTTTTTCCCCTTTTTTCCTGCTTTTTCCCATTTTTTCCCCTTTTTTTCCCATTTTCCCCCATTTTTTCCTGGTTTTTTCCCATTTTCTCCCATTCTATTCCATTTTCCCTCTTCTTTTCCCCATTTTCCTGTTTTTTCCCATTTTTTTCCCATTTTTCCCCATTTTCTGTGTTTCCAGGCCATGGCCCACTACGAGCAGGCAGCAGATTATTTTAAAGGGGAGGAATCCACCAGGTACCACCACAATTTGGGGCATTTTGGGGGGATTTGGGGAATTTGGAGAATTTTGAGGGGATTTGTGGGTGAATTGGGGGGATTTGGGTGGATTTTTGGTGGATTTCGGAAATTTTGGGGGGAATTTGGGGGTTTTGGGGAATTTTGAGGGGATTTTGGGGAATTTTGAGGGGATTTTTGGGGATTTTGGGGAAATTTGGGTGGATTTTTGGGGAATTTGCGGTGGATTTTTGGGGAATTTGGGGAATTTTGAGGGGATTTTGGGGAATTTGGGGAATTTTGAGGGGATTTTGGGGAGAATTTTGAGTGAATTTTGGGGAATTTGGGGGGAAATTTTGAGTGATTTTGGGGGGATTTGGGTGAATTTGGGGGGGATTTGGGGTGAATTTGGGTGAATTTTGGGGGGATTTGGGTGGATTTGAGTGGATTTTGGGTGGGATTTGAGTGGATTTGGGGCAGTTTGGGGCTGTTTTTGGGTGGATTTTTGGGCTGGTTTTGGGTGGATTTTTGCTGGTTTTGGTGGATTTTTGCAGGTTTTGGGTTGATTTGTGTGTTTTTTGGGCTGTTTTTGTGCTAATTTGTTGGTTTTTGCCCCAGCTCAGCCAACAAGTGCCTGCTGAAGGTGCCATTTGGGGGGATTTGGGGCTGTTTTGGGGGTTTGGGGCTGTTTTTGGGTGGATTTTTGCAGGTTTTGGGTGGATTTGAGCTGGTTTTGAGGTGATTTTGGCTGATTTTGGGCTGATTTTGTGCTAATTTGTTGGTTTTTACCCCAGCTCAGCCAACAAGTGCCTGCTGAAGGTGCCATTTGGGGCTGATTTGGGGCAGTTTGGGGCTGTTTTGGGTGTTTTGGGGCTGTTTTTGGGTGGATTTGGGCCATTTTTGGCTGGTTTTGGGCTGATTTGAGTGTTTTTTGGGCTGTTTTTGTGCTGATTTGGGTGTTTTTTTCCCCAGCTCAGCCAACAAGTGCCTGCTGAAGGTGCCATTTGGGGGGATTTGGGGCTGTTTTGGGTGGATTTTTGCTGGTTTTGGGTGTTTTGGGGCTGGTTTTGGGTGGATTTTTGCTGGATTTGGGTGGATTTGAGGTGATTTTGAGGTGATTTTGGCTGATTTTGGGCTGTTTTTGTCCCAGCTCAGCCAACAAGTGCCTGTTGAAGGTGGCCACGTTCGCGGCTCAGCTCGAGCAGTTCCCTCGCGCCATCGACATCTACGAGCAGGTCCTGCCCTTCCTCCTCCTCCTCCTCCTCCATAAATCCCATTTTTCCCCGTTTTTCCCGTTTTTCCATGTTTTCCAGGTGGGCTCCGTGGCCATGGCCAGCCCTGGCTCTCATTTTTTCTCATTTTTTCTCATTTTTTCTCATTTTTTCTCATTTTTTTCTCATTTTTCCCCATTTTCCCGTGGTTTTTAGGGGGAATCTATGTCTGTAAATCCCATTTTTCCCTGATTTTTCCTATTTTTCCGTGTTTTCCAGGTGGGTTCCGTGGCCATGGCCAGCCCTGGCTCTCATTTTTTCTCATTTTTCTCATTTTTCTCTCATTTTTCCCCATTTTCCCGTGGTTTTTAGGTGTAATCCACATCCCTCAATCCCATTTTTCCGTGTTTTCCAGGTGTGCTCTGTGGCCATGGCCAGCCCTGGATCTCATTTTTTCTCATTTTTTTCTCTCATTTTTCCCCATTTTTCCGTGGTTTTTAGGGGGAATTTGTGTCCCTGACTCCCATTTTTCCCTGATTTTCCCATTTTTCCGTGTTTTCCAGGTGGGTTCCGTGGCCATGGCCAGCCCTGGATCTCATTTTTTCTCATTTTTCTCTCATTTTTCCCCATTTTCCCGTGGTTTTTAAGTGTGATCCGTGTCCCTGACTCCCATTTTCCCCTGATTTTCCCTGATTTTCCCGTTTTTCCCTGTTTTCCAGGTGGGTTCCATGGCCATGGCCAGCCCTGGCTCTCATTTTTTCTCATTTTTCCTCATTTTTCCTCATTTTTCCTCATTTTTCTCTCATTTTTCCCCATTTTTCCTTGGTTTTTAGGGGGAATTGGTGTCCCTGACTCCCATTTTTCCCTGATTTTCCCCGTTTTTCCCATTTTTCCGTGTTTTCCAGGTGGGTTCCGTGGCCATGGCCAGCCCTGGCTCTCATTTTTTCTCATTTTTCTCTCATTTTTTCTCATTTTTTCCCATTTTCCCGTGGTTTTTAGGTGTAATCCACATCCCTCAATCCCATTTTTCCCATTTTTCCGTGTTTTCCAGGTGGGTTCCGTGGCCATGGCCAGCCCTGGCTCTCATTTTTTCTCATTTTTCTCTCATTTTTCCCATTTTTCCTTGGTTTTTAGACGGAATTCACGTCCGTAAATCCCATTTTTCCCTGATTTTCCCTGATTTTTCCCATTTTTCCATGTTTTCCAGGTGGGCTCTGTGGCCATGGCCAGCCCTGGCTCTCATTTTCTCATTTTTTCTCATTTTTTCTCATTTTTTCTCATTTTTCCCCATTTTCTCGTGGTTTTTAAGTGTGATCCGTGTCCCTGACTCCCATTTTTCCCTGATTTTTCCCATTTTTCCGTGTTTTCCAGGTGTGCTCTGTGGCCATGGCCAGCCCTGGATCTCATTTTTCTCATTTTTTCTCCTTTTTTCCCATTTTTCTCTCATTTTTCCCCATTTTCCCGTGGTTTTTAGGTGTAATTTATGTCCCTGACTCCCATTTTTCCCTGATTTTCCCATTTTCCCGTGTTTTCCAGGTGGGATCCATGGCCATGGCCAGCCCTGGATCTCATTTTCTCTCCTTTTTTCCCATTTTTTTCTCATTTTTCCCCATTTTTCCGTGGTTTTTAGGTGTAATCTATGTCCCTGACTCCCAATTTTCCCTGATTTTTCCCATTTTTCCGTGGTTTTTAGGTGTAATCCACATCCCTCAATCCCATTTTTCCCTGATTTTTCCCATTTTTCCGTGTTTTCCAGGTGGGTTCCGTGGCCATGGCCAGCCCTGGCTCTCATTTTATCTCATTTTTTCTCATATTTCCTCATTTTTTCTCATTTTTTCTCATTTTTTCTCATTTTTCCCCATTTTCCCGTGGTTTTTAGGTGTGATCCACATCCCTGACTCCCATTTTTCTCGTTTTTCCGTGTTTTCCAGGTGGGTTCCGTGGCCATGGCCAGCCCTGGATCTCATTTTTTCTCATTTTTTCTCATTTTTCTCTCATTTTTCCCCATTTTTCTGTGGTTTTTAGGGGTGATCCACATCCCTGACTCCCATTTTTCCCGTTTTTCCGTGTTTTCCAGGTGTGCTCTGTGGCCATGGCCAGCCCTGGCTCTCATTTTTTCTCATTTTATCTCATTTTTTCCCCATTTTCCCCCATTTTTCCGTGGTTTTTAGGTGTAATCCACATCCCTCAATCCCATTTTTCCCTGATTTTTCCCATTTTTCCGTGTTTTCCAGGTGTGCTCCGTGGCCATGGCCAGCCCTGGCTCTCATTTTTTCCTCATTTTTTCTCATTTTTCTCTCATTTTTCTCTCATTTTTCCCCATTTTTCCGTGGTTTTTAGGGGGAATTGGTGTCCCTGACTCCCATTTTTCCCTGATTTTCCCTGTTTTTCCCCATTTTTCCATGTTTTCCAGGTGGGATCCGTGGCCATGGACAGCCCCCTGCTGAAGTACAGCGCCAAGGATCATTTCTTCAGGGCCGCCCTCTGCCACTTCTGCATCGACCAAATCAACGCCAGGGTGGGAACCGCGCCGGGAATGGGGCTGGGATCAACTGGGAATGGGATCAACTGGGATCAACTGGGAATGGGATGGGATCAACTGGGAATGGGATGGGATCAACTGGGATCAACTGGGAATGGGCTGGGATCAACTGGGATCAACTGGGAATTGGAATGGGATCAACTGGGATCAACTGGGAATGGGATGGGATCAACTGGGAATGGGATGGGAATGGATGGGAATCACTGGGAGTTGTACTGGGATCAACTGGGAATGGGCTGGGAATTAACTGGGAATGGGATGGGAATGGATGGGAATCACTGGGAGTTCTACTGGGATCAACTGGGAATGGGATGGGATCAACTGGGAATGGGACTGGGATCAACTGGGAATGGGAATGGGATCAACTGGGAATGGGATGGGATCAACTGGGAATGGGATGGGAATGGGACTGGGATCAACTGGGAATGGGATGGGATCAACTGGGAATGGGATGGGATCAACTGGGAATGGGGCTGGGTCAACTGGGAATGGGATGGGATCAGCTGGGAATGGGATGGGAATGGGATGGGATCAGCTGGGAATGGGATGGGATCAACTGGGAATGGGATGGGATCAGCTGGGAATGGGATGGGATGAACTGGGAATGGGATGGGTCAACTGGGAATGGGGCTGGGAATTAACTGGGAATGGGCTGGGAATGGGACAGGAATCACTGGGAATGGGGCTGGGTCAACTGGGAATGGGCTGGGATGAACTGGGAATGGGCTGGGAATCACCAGGAATGGTGCTGGGTCAACTGGGAATGGGCTGGGAATGGGCTGGGATGAACTGGGAATGGGTTGGGAATCACGGGGAATGGGCTGGGATGGGTTGGGAATGTTTGGGAATGGTCAGGAATGTTTGGAATGTTCCCAGCTGGTAGTGCAGAGGCATGAGGGGATGTTGGGAATGTTTGGGAATGTTTGGAATGGTCAGGAAGGGTCAGGAATGTTTGGGAATGATCAGGAATGTCTGGGAATGTTTGGGAATGTTCCTGTTCCCAGCTGGCAGTTCAGAGGCACGAGGGGATGTTGGGAATGGTTGGGAATGTTTAGGAATGTCTGGGATGGGTCAGGAAGGGTCAGGAATGGTCAGGAATGTTTGGGAATGGTTGGAATGGCTGGGATGGGTCAGGAAGGGTCAGGAATGTTTGGGAATGGTTGGGATGTGTCTCTATGTTGGGAATGTCTGGGAATGTTTGGGAATGTTTCTCTTCCCAGCTGGCAGTTCAGAGGCACGAGGGGATGTTGGGAATGGTCAGGAATGTTTGGAATGGTTGGGAATGTTTGGGAATGGCTGGGATGGGTCAGGAATGATCAGGAATATCTGGGAATGTTGGGAATGTTTGGGAATGTCTGGGAATGATCAGGAATGTTTGGGAATGACCAGGAATGTTTGGAATGTTTGGGAATGTTCCTGTTCCCAGCTGGCCGTTCAGAGGTACGAGGGGATGTTGGGAATGGTCAGGAATGTTTGGGAATGTTTGGAATGGTCAGGAATGGTCAGGAAGGGTCAGGAATGATCAGGAATATTTGGGAATGTTTGGGAATGTTTCTGTTCCCAGCTGGCCGTTCAGAGGTACGAGGGGATGTTGGGAATGGTCAGGAATGTTTGGGAATGTTTGGAAATGATCAGGAATGATCAGGAATGTTTGGAATGTTCCCAGCTGGCCGTTCAGAGGTACGAGGGGATGTTGGGAATGGTCAGGAATGTTCAGGAATATCTGGGAATGTTTGGGAATGTTTGGAATGTTCCCAGCTGGCCATTCAGAGGTACGAGGGGATGTTGGGAATGGTTGGGATGGGTCAGGAAAGGTCAGGAATGTTTGGGAATGACCAGGAATGTTTGGAATGTTCCCAGCTGGCCATTCAGAGGTACGAGGGGATGTTGGGAATGTTGGGAATGATCAGGAATATTTAGGAATGTTTGGGATGTGTCTCTATCCCAGCTGGCCGTTCAGAGGTACGAGGGGATGTTGGGAATGTTTGGGAATGGCTGGGATGGGTCAGGAAGGGTCAGGAATATCTGGGAATGTTGGGAATGTTCCTGTTCCCAGCTGGCCGTTCAGAGGTACGAGGGGATGTTCCCGGCCTTCTCCGACTCCCGGGAGTGCAAACTCCTCAAGGTCAGCCCTTCCCCCCTGCCCACACCCTCCTCTTCCTCCTCTTCTTCCTCCTCCTCTTCTTCCTCTTCTTCCTCCTCCTCTTCCTTCTTTTCTTCTTCCTTTTCTTCCTCCTCTTCTTCCCTCTTCCTCTTCTTCCCTTGCTCCTCTTCCTCTTCCTCCTCCTCCTCTTCCTCCTTCTCCTCCTCCTCTTTCTTCTCTTCCTCCTCCTCCTCCTCTTCCTCTTCTTCCTCCTCCTTCTCCTCCTCTTCCTCTTCCTCTTCTTGTTCTTCCTCCTCTTCTTCCTCCTCCTCTTCCTTCTTTTCTTCTTCCTTTTCTTCCTCTTCTTCCCTCTTCCTCCTCTTCCTCTTCCTCCTCTTCCTCTTCTTCTTCCTCCTCTTCCCCTCTTCCTCTTCCTCCCCCTCCTCTTCCTCCTCTTCTTCCTCCTCCTCTTTCTCTTCCTCCTCTTCCTCCTTCTCTTTCTCCTTTTCTTCCTCCTTCTCTTCTTTCTTTTCTTCTTCCTTTTCTTCCTCCTTTTCTTCCCCCTTCCTCTTCTTCTCTTGCTCCTCTTCCTCCTCTTCCTTTTCTTCCTTTTCTTTCTCTTCCTCTTCCTCTTTCTCTTCCTTCTCTTCCTCCTCCTCTTTTTCTTCCTCCTTTTCCTCTTCTTTCCCCTCTCTCTTGCTCTTCTTTCTGCTTTTCCTCCTTCTTCCTCTTCCTCCTCTTCCTCCTCCTCTTCTTCCTCCTCTTTCTTCCTCCTCTTCCCCCTCCTCTTCCTCTCTCTGGGATCGCCCCCAGATCTCTTCCCTGCTTCCAGGGGGGAATTTGGGAGGATTTTGGGGGTTCCAGGGGTGGATTTTGGGGATTTTTGGGGGGTTTTCTCCTCCTCTTCCTCCTCCTCCCCCCCCCAGAAGCTGCTGGAGGCTCACGAGGAGCAGAACGTGGACGCCTTCACCGATGCTGTGAGTGCCAAAACACCCCCAAAAACCCCCAAAAACCCCCAATTTCACCCTAAAATCCCCTGATTTCACCCCAAAACCCCCCAAATTCCCCCCAATCTGATGTCACCCCAAAACCCCTAGAACCCTCAGTTCCACCCCAAAGCCCCCAAGTCGCTCCAAACCCCACAAGGCCCCAATTTCACCCTAAATCCCCCAAATCACCCCAAACCTCCCCATTTCACCCCAGATCCCAACCTCAAAATCCCCATGTCACCCCAAATCCCCAACCTCCCTGATTTCACCCCAAACCCCCTAACCCCCTGATTTCACCCAAATCCCCCAACCCTCTAATCTCATCCCAAACCCCCCAATTTCATCCCAAATCCCCCAAATCTCCCCAAATTTCTCTAAATTCCCCAAACCTCCCAGCATTTCACCCCAAACACCTCCCCCAAATCCCCTCAATGCCCCCACTGCATTTCACCCTAAATCCCCCCAAAGTCCCCCAAAACCCTCCGAATTTCGCCCCAAATCCCCCCAAACCCCCACGATTTCACCCACTAAATCTCCCTAAATTCTCACCCCAAACCTCCCCAATTTCACCCCAAATCCCCCAAACCTCCTGATTTCACCCCAAATCCCCCAAACCCCAATTTCACCCCTAAACCTCCCCAAACCTCCCCAATTTCATCCCAAATCCCCCAAATCCCCTAAACCTCCCCAAACCTCCCCAATTTCCCCCAAATCCCCCAAATCCCCCAAACCTCCCCAATTCACCCCAAATCCCCCAAACCTCCCCATTTTCCCCAAATCCCCCAAATCACCCCAAACTTCCCAAAATCCCCCAAATCCCCCCAAACCTCCCCAATTCCACCCCAAATCCCTCAACCCCTCTGATTTAACTCCAACCCCCAAACCTCCCCAATTTCACCCCAAACCTCCCCAAACCTCCCCAATTTCACCCCAAATCCCCCAAATCCCCAAACCTCCAATTTCACCCCAAATCCCCCTAACCTCCCCAATTTCACCCCAAATCCCCCAAATCCCCCAAACCTCCCCAAATCCCCCAAACTCCCCAATTTCACCAAATCCCCTAACCCCTCTGATTTCAACCCTAACCCCCAAACTCTCCCAATTTCACCCCAAATCCCCCAAACCTCCTCAATTTCACCCCAAACCTCCCCAGCTCCCCCAACCCCCCTGGTTTGAGCCCAGCCCCAGGAGGGTCCCAGGTCCCCCCAAATCAGATTTTCCCCCAGGTGAAGGAATTCGACTCCATCTCCCGGCTGGACCAGTGGCTGACGACGATCCTGCTGCGCCTCAAACGCTCCCTGCAGGCCGAGGAGCCTGACCTACGCTAGAAAAACACTTCCTTTAAAACCTAACTAGCTGTGGCACAACATCCCGAAATACCGAAATGACCTCAAAACGCCCCAAATTGACTAAAAACACCCCTAAATAACCCAAAATTTTAAAAATGCCCAAAATTATTTAAAATACCTAAAAGGCCTCAAATGCCCCCAAAATGACAGGAACACAGCTAGAAGATACAGTCAATGAAAGGCCACAGTACCTCAGGACCCAAAGGCTGACATCAGTGCTTCCAAGATCACTTTTACCAAAGGAGCCTCCAGAGCCTTTAGATACTTACAGATCCTGCAGTCAGTCAAAGGCCCACCAGAGGCACCCAGAAAGGCTCTGAGGCATGCAGAGAGCCAGGCCCCAAAGGCCACAGGCCCCCAGAAGGCATACAAGGCTTCCTTCAAGTCATCAAGGCAGCAAGATCCACTTTAAGGGCTGAATACCCCAAAAGTACTTTAAGAATGCAGTCATCAGAGGCATATGGAGTCACTTTAAAGACATTTAGAATACTTTGACCTTTGAGGCCCCAGAATCGCTGCAAGGCGCCTCAAGGTCACTTTGAAAGCCTTTAAAGGCCAGGAGTCACGAGGCATACCGGTCCCTTGCCCCCAGAGAGCGCCCCAAGGCCGCAAAGACCCTTTGAGGCGTCCCCGAGAGGCCCGCAGAATGCTTCAGTCTTAAAGAGGCCAGGCATACAAGGCATACAGGGCCATTTAGAGGATCGCCCGAAGAGGCGCCCAGGGAGAATAACCCTGAAAGGGCTCCAGGCCACACAGGCCCCAAGATCACTTTAGAAAGGCGCCAGATACCCCCAAGTCTTTGGAGTAGCATCAAAGGCCACGAAGGCACTTTACAGACCACTTTGAGGGCCACTGGAGCCCCAGGGATCCTTTTGCCCTTTAGAGCCACACAGTGCAAGAATAACCCCCGAGATCTTAAGGGCGAGGCACGAGGCACACCCCAAGGGCTGGCTGATCCTTTAAAGAGAGGCCACAGAAGTCCTTTAAAGAGGCCTGCCAAGATCACGCCCAAAGGCCTTCCCAAGATCTTGAGAAGGCCCAGAACGCCCACTTAGGTCATTTTGAAGGCCTTTTAGGTGCCATCTGAGACCTTTTAGGAGCCACTCTAGAAAGGCGCCTAGGCCCCAAAGATCGCCCCAAAGGGCCCAGATCTCTTTAGGAAGGCCAGCCCAGGAGCGCGAAGATGCCACCCAAGATCCTTTACGTGATCATCGAAGGCATAAGAGTCTTTGGGTATCAAAAAGGCCCCGAGGCGCTGCACAAGATAGCCCCCAGGAGTCCTTTAAAGAGGCGCTCGCAAGATCCTTTGGGCCTGAGAGTCTTTGAGGGCAGCATCGGGAGCCACTTTAGATAGGCTGCTGGATGCATCGAGGCCTTCCAAGAGGCCCACACGAGGCCACTTAGGGCCACCAGTCTTCACTGGTCACCCTGGGAGCGCACCGCAAAGGCCACAAGATCCTTGCAAGGCCTTCTAGATCGCTCCACGAGGCGCGCTCGAGAATACTAGAGGCCCCAGAGATCGTCCGAGAGGCCTTTCAAGGCCCCTCCCAGAGGCGCCCCCAAGACCACCCCAGAGAGCCACTGACCCCCCAAAATCACCCCAAATACCTCAAAAAACCCCCAAAAAACACCCCCAAAACCACCCCAAAAAAACCACCAAAACCCCCCAAAAAACACCCCAAAAACCACCCCAAAATCACCCCAAATGCCTCAAAAAACCCCCAAAATTCCAAAACCCCCCCAAAATCATCCCCAAAAATCCCCCAAGCTCTGGAAGTGCCTTTTCCTCCCCCTTTTTTTTCCTTCATTTTATGGAGGTTTTTTTTCTTTGGAAATGATTAAAATATTTAATTAATTAATTAATTAATTAATCAGACCTTTTGGTCTTTTTTTGGGGGTTTTTGGGAGATTTTGGGGAGGGAGTTGAATTTTTGGGGGTTTTCAGAGTTTTCCCCCCAAATTTTAGGGGAGTTTTTGAGGGTTTTCCTCCCATTTTTTAGGGTTTTTTTGAGGATTTTTCCCCCATTTTTTAGGGTTTTTTTGAGGGTCCCAACCCCATTTTTGGGGAGTTTTTTGAGGGTTTTCCCCCCAATTTTTGGGGGGGTTTTGAGGGTCCCAACCCCATTTTTGGGGGGGTTTTTCAGGGTTTTACCCCCCAATTTTGGGTGAGTTTTGAGGGTTTTCCCCCCATTTTTGGGAGGGTTTTCCCCCCATTTTTTAGGGTTTTTTTGACGGTTTTCCTCCCAAATTTTGGGGGGGTTTTTGAGGGTCCCACCCCCATTTTTTATATATTTTTGAAGGTTTTTCCCCCATTTTTGGGGTTTTTTTTGAGGGTTTTTCCCCCTCCAAACCCCGCCCCCCATTCCCTCAAGCCCCGCCCACCCCACAAGCCCCCCCCAAAGTGGGCGTGGCTTAAACGCTCCCCTCCCCTTTCTCTTTTTTTTACATTTTTTTCCCCAAAATCCCCAAATTTTTTGGGTTTCCCCCCAAACTTCGAACCCGTCGCCTGCGTGACGTCACCCTCACGCGCCACCCCCTCAAGGTCCCCTCCCTCCCCTCAGCGGGGCTGCCCCTTTCTCCGCCTGCTCCCATCTCCCATTTTTTCCATCTTTTTCCCCCAAAACCCCCAAATTTGGGGTTTTTCCCCTCAAACTTCGAGCCCGTCGCCTCCGTGACGTCACACCCCGTTCAAGACCCCCTTTTCCCCTTCCCCCCCTCCTCGGCCTGCCCCTTTCTCCACCTGCTCCCATCTCCCATTTTTTTTTCATTTTATCCCCAAAAAACTCCCAAATTTGGTTTTTTCCCCCCAAAATTCCAGCCCGTGACGTCACATCCACGCGCCGCCTGCGTGACGCCACATTTACTCGCCTCCCCCTCAAGGCCCCCTCTCCCTCCCCTCAGCGGGGCTGCCCCGCTCACCGCCTGCTCCCATCTCCCATTTTTTTTTCATTTTATCCCAAAACTCCCAAATTTGGGTGTTTTCCCCCCAAACTTCGAACCGGTCGCCTGCGTGACGTCACATTCACGCGCCTCCCCCTCAAGGCCCCCCTCCCCTCAGCGGGGCTGCCCCGTTCACCGCCTGTTCCCATCCCCCATTTTTTTTTCCATTTCTCCCCCAAACCCCCAAATTTGGGTTTTTCCCCCCAAACTTCGAGCCCGTGACGTCACACCCACGCGCCGCCTGCGTGACGTCACATCCACTCGCCTCCCCCTCAAGGCCCCCCTCCCTCCCCTCAGCGGGGCTGCCCCGCTCACCGCCTGCTCCCATCCCCCCTTTTTTTCCATTTTTCCCCAAATTTGGGTTTTTTCCCCCCAAAATGCGCGGGTGGGGTCGGTGCCCGCTGGTGGAGGACACTTTCACCCGGCTGTGCTCTCAGAGCAGCGTGTACGGCCTGGCCGCGCTGCAGGGCCGGGTCGGGGCGGGTTTGGGGGCCGAGCCCGCCGCGGGTTTTGGGCTCAGTTCGGGCGTTTTTGGGTTCAATTCGGGCGGTTTTGGGGCCGCCGCGTGGGGGGCGCTGCTGGCGGCGCCGCTCAAGGGGAAGGTTCTGCTCTTCAGGTACCTCCCCGTGGCAGCGCCCACCCTCAGCCCGCACGCCAGGGAGCTGCAGTTCACCTACATACCCGGTGCGTCATTAATGGGCTAATAATTCACTAATTAATGGGTTAATTAATAGGGTATTAACTAACAATTAATGGGGGATTGATCGGGAATTAATGGGGGATTCGTGGGTTTGTTGATGGGGGGGTTGAGGGGTCTGAGGGGGAGGGTGCAGTTCACTTACATACCCGGTGCGTCATTAACGGGTTATTAATTGTTAATTAATGGGGAATTAATTATTAATTAATGGGGATTGATCGGGAATTAATGGGGGATTGATCGGTAATGAATAGGGGATTGATCGGTAATGAATGGGGGATTCGTGAGTTTGTTGAGGGGTCTGAGGGAGGGGTGCAGTTCACTTACATATCTGGTAAGTCATTAATGGGCTAATAATTCACTAATTAATCTGGGAATTAACTGGTAATTAATGGGGGATTGATGGGGAATTAATGGGGGATTGATGGGGAATTGATGGGGGATTCATGAGGGGTCTGAGGGGGAAAGGTTTGGGGGTCTCTGAGAGCTGCAGTTCACTCACATGCCCGGTAATTAACGGGTTAATTAATTGTTAATTAATTGTTAATTAATGCGGGAATTAACTAACAATTAATGGGGGATTCATGGGGAATTGATGGGGAATTGATGGGGAATTAATGGGGGATTGATCGGGAATTAATGGGGGATTGATCAGTAATAAATGGGGAATTCATGAGGGGTCTAGGGAGGAGGTGCAGTTCACATACATACCCGGTAATTAATAACGGGCTAATAATTGTTAATTAATTGTTAATTAATGGGGAATTAACTGTTAATGAATGGGGTATTAATCGTTAGTGAATGGGAGATTGATCGGTCATGAATGGGGGATTGATCGGTAATGAATGGGGAATTCATGAGGGGTCTGGGGGGAGGTGCAGTTCACCCACATACCCGGTAATTAACGGGTTATTAATTGTTAATTAATTGTTAATTAATGGGGATTAACTGTTAATGAATGGGGTATTAATCGTTAGTGAATGGGAGATTGATCGGTCATGAATGGGGGATTGATCAGTAATAAATGGGGAATTCATGAGGGGTCTGGGGGGAGGTGCAGTTCACCCACATACCTGGTAATTAACGGGTTATTAATTGTTAATTAATTGTTAATTAATGGGGGATTAACTGTTAATGAATGGGGGATTGATCGGTAATGAATGGGGGATTGATCGTTAATGAATGGGGGATTCATGGGGAATTGATGGGGAATTCATGAGGGGTCTGAGGGGGGAGGTGCAGTTCACTTACATACCCGGTAATTAATAACGGGTTATTAATTGTTAATTAATGGGTTAATTAATTATTAATTAATGGGGATTGATCGGGAATTAATGGGGGATTAACTGTCAATTAATGGGGGATTGATCGTTAATGAATGGGGAATTCATGAGGGGTCTGGGGAGGAGCTGCAGTTCACCTACATACCCGGTAATTAATTAATAATGCACTAATTAATGGGTTAATTAATGGGGAATTAACTAACAATTAATGGGGGATTGATGGGGGATTCATGAGGGGTCTGAGGGGGGAAGGTTTGGGGGGTCTCTGGGAGGTGCAGTTCACCCACATACCCGGTAATTCATTAATAGTTCACTAATTAATGGGTTAATTAATGGGGAATTGATCGGGAACTAACTGTTAATGAATGGGGGATTGATCGGGAATTAATGGGGAATTGATCGGTAATGAGTGGGGAATTCATGAGGGGTCTGGGGAGGAGCTGCAGTTCACATACATACCCGGTAATTAATGACGGGTTATTAATTGTTAATTAATGGGTTAATTAATTATTAATTAATGGGGATTGATCGTTAATGAATGGGGAATTGATGGGGAATTAATGGGGCGGTTGAGGGGTCGGGGGGGGGGGAGGTGCAGTTCACCCACACACCCAGTAATTAACGAGTTATTAATTAATTAGTGCGGTAATTAATGGGGAATTGATTGTTAATGAATGGGGGATTGATCGGTAATGAATGGGGGATTGATCGGTAATGAATGGGGGATTCATGAGGGATCTGAGGGGGGAAGGTTGGGGGGTCTCTGGGAGGTGCAGTTCACCCACATACCCGGTAATTAATGGGCTAATAATTCACTAATTAATGCGTTAATTAATGGGGAATTAACTGTTAATGAATGGAGGATTGATCGGGAATTAATGGGGGATTCGTGAGTTTGTTGAGGGGTCTGAGGGGGAGGTGCAGTTCACCCACATACCCGGTACGTCATTAATGGGTTAATAATTCACTAATTAATGCGGGAATTAACTAACAATTAATGGGGGATTTACCGGTAATGAATGGGGGATTGATCGGGAATTAATGGGGGATTCATGAGGGGTCTGAGGGGGGAAGGTTTGGGGGGGTCTCTGGGAGGTGCAGTTCACCCACATACCCGGTAATTAATGAGCTAATAATTCATTAATTAGTGGGGAATAAGTGGGTAATTAACGGTAAATTAATGGTTAATTCATCTCTTGATGAGGGGTCTGGAGGGGGGAGGTTTGGGGGGGTCTCTGGGAGGTGCAGTTCACCCTTTGGAATTAGTTATTAATTAGTTATTAATTAGTAACTAATTGGTGGTTAATTAATGATTAATTAACAGATTTTTAATGAGAGGGCTCGGGGGACTGAGAGGTCGGGGGGGGGGAAGTTTGGGGGGTCTGAGACCTGCGATTCCCCCCTATAATTAATTATGAATTAGGGGTTAATTGGGGGTAAATTGGGTTTAATTAGGGGATAATTAGTGATTAATTAGTTGTTAATCACGGCAGTGGACGCCGAGATCGTGTCCATCGACTCGTTCTCCAAATCCCCCCCCCAGAGGGGGCTCGTGGTGGGCATCACCTTCATCAAGGTGGGGGATTTGGGGGGAATTTGGGGGAATTTGGGGTTTTGGGGGTTTTGGGGTTTTGGGGTTTTTGGGGGTTTTGGGGTTTTTGGGGGAGTTTTGGGTGATTTTGGAGGGTTTGGGGGTTTTTTGGGGTTTTCTTTTGGGGGTCTGGGGGTCTTGGGGCCTTTAGGGAATCTGGGGTCTTTAGGGAGTCTTGAGCGATCTTTGGAGAGTCTGGGAGTCTTTAGAAGTGAACCTAGGGATCTTATTAGGAACTCGAGGGATCTGGGTCTTTGGAGAACTTGGAGTCTTTCAGGATGGTCTGGAGCCCTGGGGTCTTTGAGGAATCTCGGGGTCTGAGGAGATTTTGGGAGTTTTGGGGTGAACCTAGGGGTTTTCAGGATGGTTTGGGGTTTTGGGGTTTTTAGGGAGCAGTTTAGACGATCTTTGGAGAGTTTGGGGTTTTTGGGGTGAATCTGAGACTTTTGGAGAGTTTTGGGTTTTGGGGAATTTGGGTTTTTGGGAGGGTTTGGGGTTTTGGGGTTTTGGGGTGGTTTTGGGGAATTTGGGGATTTTGGGAGGAATTTGGGGATTTTTGGGGAGAATTTGAGGTTTTTGGGAGGGTTTGGGGTGGTTTGGGGAATTTGGGTTTTTTGGGGGAGCTGGGAGTGGTTTTTGGGGGTGTTGGGTTTTTTGGGGGTCCCAGGGTTAGTTGGGGGTCCCAGGGTTAATGAAGGAGTCCCAGGGATGATTGGGGGCTCTCAGGGGGTCCCAGGGTTAATTTGGGGGTCCCAGGGGCTCTGGGGGCTCTCAGGGATGATTGGGGGTGAATTTGGGGGTCCCAGGATTAATTGGGGGTCCCAGGGTTAATTTGGGGTCCCCACCCCAGGACCCAGGGACAAGCCGAGCCCAGGGGGGAGCTGGGGGTGGTTTTGGGAGGGTTTGGGGTTTTTGGGGGTCCCAGGGGCTCTGGGGGTCCCAGGGGGTCTCAGGGGGTCTCAGGGGTCCCAGGGTTAATTGGGGGTCTCAGGGGGTCCCAGGGTGTCTCCAATCCCCCAAGGACTCGGGGGACAAACCCAGGGGCTCTTGGGGGGTTTGGGGGTCCCAGGGATGATTGGGGGTCCTAGGGATGATTGGGGGTCCCAGTGGTTAATTAGGGGTCCCAGGGTTAATTTGGGGGTCCCCACCCCAGGACTCAGGGGACAAACCCAGGGGCTCTTGGGGGATTTTGGGGTCCCAGGGTTCTCAGGGGTCCTAGGGATGATTAGGGGTCCCAGGGTTAGTGGGGGTGAATTTGGGGTCCCAGGGGCTCTGGGGGTCCCAGGGGTTTGGGGGTCTCAGGGGGTCCCAGGGGCTCTGGGGGGGTCTCAGGGTGTCCCCAATCCCCCCCCCAGGACTTGGGGGACAAACCCAGGGACTCATGGTGGGGGGAATTTGGGGGTCCCAGGGTTAATTGGGGGGTCCCAGGGTTAATTAAGGGGTCCCAGAGTTAATTAAGGGGTCCCAGGGTTAATTGGGGGGGGGTCCCCACCCCCAGGACTCGGGGGACAAACCCAGGGGTTCATGGGGGGGAATTTGGGGGTCCCAGGGTTAATTGGGGGGTCTCAGGGGGTCCCAGGGTTAATTTGGGGGTCTCAGGGGGTCCCAGGGATGATTGGGGGGTCCCAGGGGTGTCCCAGGGTTAATTGGGGGGATCCCAGGGGTTCATGGGGGTGAATTTGGGGGTCCCAGGTTAATTTGGGGGGTCCCAGGGTTAATTTGGGGGTCCCAGGGATGATTGGGGGTGAATTTGGGGGTCTCAGGGTGTCCCCAATCCCCCCAGGACTCCGGGGAGAAGCCGAGCCCGTTCCTGAACATTTACTGCGATTACGAACCCGGCTGCGAATTCGACCTCGACTGCGTCGCACGTGAGAGCCCCAAAACGGGGCAAAATCACCCCAAAATGGGGGAAAACCGACAGAAAGGGGGGAAAAACAACAGAAACGGGGAGAAAAACAACAGAAATGGGGAGAAAACCAACAGAAATGGGGAAAAACAGCCCAAAAGTGGGGATAAAATCAACAAAAATGGGGAGAAAACCAACAAATATGGGGAAAAAACCAACAAAAATGGGGCTGAAAATACCAGAAAGGGGGAAAAACAGCCAAAAAATGGGGAGAAAACCAAGAAAAACGGGGCTGAAAATACCAGAAATGGGGAGAAAACCAACAAAAATGGGGAGAAAACCAACAAAAATGGGGAGAAAACCAACAAAAATGGGGCTGAAAATACCAGAAATGGGGAGAAACAGCAAAAAAGGGGAAAGAACCAACAAAAATGGGGAGAAAACCAACAAAAATGGGGAGAAAAACAAAAAAAATGGGGCTGAAAATACCAGAAATGGGGAAAAACAGCCCCAAAAATGGGGGGAAACCAACAAAAATGGGGAAAAACAACCAGAAATGGGGAAAAACAGCCAAAAAATGGGGAGAAAATCAACCAAAAAACGGGGGGAAAGCCAACAAAAATGGGGAGAAAACTAGCCAAAATGGGGAGAAAACCACCAAAAAGGGGGAGAAAACTAACAAATATGGGGAAAAAACCAACAAATATGGGGATGAAAGCACCCAAAAACACCTCCCCAACCTCCCCCAAAAAGGTCCCTGACCCCCCCAGAACCCCCAAACCCACCCAAACTCCTAAAAAGGGTCCCTGACCCCCCCCAAAATTGTCCCTGACCCCCCAAAATTGTCCCAGCCCCCCCAAAATTGTCCCTGACCCCCCCAAAAATTGTCCCAGCCCCCAAAAAGGGTCCCTGACCCCCAGAACCCCAAAACCCATCCAAGCCCCCAAAAATGGTCCCTGACCCCCAAAATTGTCCTCTGACCCCGAAAAAGGGTCCCTGACCCCAAAAGGGTCCCTGACCCCCAAAAGGTTCCTGACCCCCAAAAGGGTCCCTGACCCCCAAAAGGGTCCCTGACCCCAGAACCCCAAACCTCCCCAACCCCCAAAAAGGGTCCCAACCCCCAAAAGGGTCCCTGACCCCCAAGCCCCCAAAAATGGTCCCTGATCCCCCAAAAGGGTCCCAGGCCCCCAAAAGGCTCCCTGACCCCCAAACCCCCAAAATGGTCCCTGACCCCCAAACAGGGTCCCTGACCTCCCCAGAACCCCCAAATCTCCCCAGCCCCCCAAAAGGGTCCCAACCCCCAAAAGGGTCCCTGACCCCCAAAAGGGTCCCTGACCCCAGAACCCCAAATCTCCCCAGTCCCCTTAAAAGGCTCCTGACCCCCTAAAAATGGTTCCAGCCCCCAAAAATGGTCCCTGACCCTCCCAGGTCCCCCAAAACCCCCAAAAGGGTCCCAATCCCCAAAAGGGTCCCTGACCCCCAAACCCCAAAAATGGTCCCTGACCCCCTTTCTCCCTCCCCAGAGAGCTGCCTGAACAAACCCCCAGGCCCCCAAACCCCTCCTAAACCCCCCAAACCCCCCAAAAGGGTCCCTGACCCCAAAAAGGTTCCTGACTCCCCAAAAAGGTTCCCTGACCCCCAAAAATGGTCCCTGACCCCCAAAATTGGACCCTGACCCTCCCAGGCCCCCAACCCCCCAAAAAGGCTCCCAGCCCCCAAAAATTGTCCCTGACCCCCAGAACCCCCAAAGGGTCCCTGACCCCCCAGAACCCTCAAATCTCCCCAACCCCCAAAAAGGTCTCAGACCCCCTAAAAATGGGCTCTGACCCTCCCAGAACCCCCAAAAGGTCCCTGACCCCTAAAAGGGTCCTAACCCCAAAAGGTTCCCAGCCCCCAAAATGGTCCTGACCCCCTTTCTCCCCTCCCCCAGAGAGCTGCCTGAACCACCCCCAGCCCCCAAACCCCTCAAACACCCCAAAAAGGGTCCCTGACCCCCAAACCCCCCAAAATTGTCCTGACCCCCAAAAATAGTCCCTGACCCCCAAACCCCCCAAAAGATCCCTGACTCCCAAAAATGGGTCCCTGACCCCCTTTTGTCCCCTCCCCCAGAGAGCTGCCTGAACCTGGAGCTTCGCTTCACCCCCTTCCACCTCTGCCACGCCCAGTAGGTGCCCCCCAGACCCCCCAAAAAACCCTGGGGACCCCCCTGAGCCTCGAGGGGACCCCCAAAAAAATCCTGAACCTCCAAAAAAATCCTAAAACCCAAAAAATTCCCCCCAAAATTCCCCCCCCTCCAGGGTCCAGGTGGGGGAGCACCAGGAGACCGTGTTCCTGCTCAGTGGGAATGACCCTGCTATCCATCTTTACAGGGAGGTGAGAGCACAAAAACACCCTAAATCACCCCAAAATATCCCTAAAACCCTCCAAAATATCCAAAAATCATCAAAAAATATCCAAAAATCATCAAAAAATACCCCCCAATCCCCCCAACCCAGCCCTAAATCCCCCCTTGTTCCTGCTCAGTGGGAATGACCCTGCCATCCATCTTTACAGGGAGGTGAGAGCCCTAAATCACCCCAAAATATCCAAAAATAACCCTAAAATATCAAAAAATCATCAAAAAATACCCCAAAATCCCCCAACCCAGCCCTAAATCCCCCCCTGTTCCTGCTCAGTGGGAATGACCCTGCTATCCATCTTTATAGGGAGGTGAGAGCCTAAAAACACCCTAAATCACCCCAAAATATCCCTAAAACCCTCCAAAATATCCAAAAATCATCAAAAAATATCCAAAAATCATCAAAAAATACCCCCCAATCCCCCCAACCCAGCCCTAAATCCCCCCCTGTTTCTGCTCAGTGGGAATGACCCTGCCATTCATCTTTATAGGGAGGTGAGAGCACAAAAACACCCCAAAATATCCCAAAAACATCCTAAATAACCCCAAAATATCAAAAAATCATCAAAAAATACCCCAAAATATCCAAAAATCATCCAAAAATACCCCAAAATATCCCAAAATCACCCCAAAATACCCCAAAAGCCCCAAAAAATACCCCAAAATATCCCAAAAATCACCCCAAAATATTTAAAAATTGTCCAAAAACACTCTAAAATATCAAAAAATCACCCAAAAACACCCCAAAATCACCTTAAAACCCCAAAATATCCAAAAATCATCCAAAAATACCCCCAAATCATCCAAAAAATCCCCCAACCCAGCCCTAAATCCCCCCCTGTTCCTGCTCAGTGGGAATGACCCTGCTATCCACCTTTATAGGGAGGTGAGAGCCCAAAAACACCCTAAATCACCCCAAAATCACCTTAAATAACCCCAAAAAATAAAAATATCATCAAAAAATATCCAAAAATCATCCAAAAATACCCCAAAATCCCCCCAAACCAACCCTAAATCCCCCCCTGTTCCTGCTCAGTGGGAATGACCCTGCTATCCACCTTTACAGGGAGGTGAGAGCACAAAAACACCCCAAAATATCCCAAAAACACCCTAAATCACCCCAAAATCACCTTAAACCCCCCCAAAATATCCAAAAATCATCCCAAAATACCCCAAAATATCCTAAAATCACCCCAAAATACCCCAAAAGCCTCAAAAAATACCCCAAAATATCCCAAAATCACCCTGAAATATTTAAAAATTCTCCAAAAATACCCCAAAATATCCCAAAAATCATCCAAAAATACCCCAAAATCACCTTAAAACACCCCAAAATATCCAGAAATCATCCAAAAATACCACCAAAATCATCCAAAAATACCCTAAAATATCCTAAAACCACCCCAAAATACCCCAAAAGCCTCCAAAAATACCCCAAAATATCCCAAAAATACCCCAAAATATCCAAAAATCATCAAAAAATACCCCAAAATCATCCAAAAATACCCCAACCCAGCCCTGAATCCCCCCCTGTTCCTGCTCAGTGGGAATGACCCTGCCATCCATCTTTACAGGGAGGTGAGAGCCTAAAAACACCCCAAAATATCCCAAAAACACCTTAAATAACCCCAAAATATAAAAATATCATCAAAAAATACCCCCCAATCCCCCCAACCCAGCCCTAAATCCCCCCCTGTTCCTGCTCAGTGGGAATGACCCTGCCATCCATCTTTATAGGGAGGTGAGAGCTTAAAAACACCCCAAAAACATCCTAAAATATCCCAAAATCACCTTAAAACACCCCAAAATATAAAAAAATCATCAAAAAATACCCCAAAATCACCCCAAAATACCCCAAAAGCCTCAAAAAATACCCCAGAATATCCCAAAATCCTCCAAAAACACCCCAAAATCACCTTAAAACACCCCAAAATACCCAAAAACACCCCAAAAAATCCAAAAATCATCCAAAAATCCCCCAAAATCATCCAAAAATCCCCCAACCCAGCCCTAAATCCCCCCCTGTTCCTGCTCAGTGGGAATGACCCTGCCAGCCACCTTTACAGGGAGGGGAGAGCACAAAAACACCCCAAAATATCCCAAAAATAACCCTAAATAACCCCCAAAAATAAAAATATCATCAAAAAATACCCCAAAATCATCCAAAAATACCCCCAAATCCCCCCAACCCAGCCCTAAATCCCCCCCTGTTCCTGCTCAGTGGGAATGACCCTGCCATCCATCTTTATAGGGAGGTGAGAGCCTAAAAATACCCTAAATCACCCCGAAAACATCCTAAAGTATCCCAAAATATTAAAAAATCATCAAAAAATACCCCAAAATACCCCAAAATCATCCAAAAATCCCCCAACCCAGCCCTAAATCCCCCCCTGTTCCTGCTCAGTGGGAATGACCCTGCCATCCATCTCTACAGGGAGGTGAGAGCTTAAAAACACCCTAAATCACCCCAAAATGTCCCAAAATATCCCTAAAACACCCCAAAATATCAAAAAACCATCAAAAAATACCCCAAAATCATCCAAAAATCCCCCCCTGTTCCTGCTCAGTGGGAATGAACCTGCCAGCCACCTTTACAGGGAGGTGAGAGCACAAAAACACCCTAAATCACCCCAAAATATCCCAAAAACCCCCCAAAATATCAAAAAACCATCAAAAAACACCCGAAAATATCCCAAAATCACCCCAAAATACTCCAAAAGCCTCAAAAAATACCCCAAAATATCCCAAAATCACCCCAAAATATTTAAAAATTCTCCAAAAACACTCTAAAATATCCAAAAATTCTCCAAAAACACCCCAAAATATCCAAAAACCATCCCAAAATCCCCCAACCCAGCCCTAAATCCCCCCCTGTTCCTGCTCAGTGGGAATGACCCTGCCAGCCACCTTTACAGGGAGGTGAGAGCACAAAAACACCCCAAAATATCCCAAAAACACCCTAAATAACCCCAAAATCACCTTAAAACACCCCAAAATATCCAAAAATCATCCAAAAATCCCCCCCTGTTCCTGCTCAGTGGGAATGACCCTGCCAGCCACCTTTACAGGGAGGTGAGAGCACAAAAACACCCCAAAAACATCCTAAATAACCCTAAAATATCCCAAAATCACCTTAAAACACCCCAAAATATCCAAAAATCATCAAAAAATACCCCAAAATATCCCCAAATCACCCCAAAATACCCCAAAAACCTCAAAAAATACCCCAAAATATCCCCAAATCACCCCAAAATATTTAAAAGCCCTCCAAAAATACCCCAAAATATCACATAAACACCCTGAAATATCACAAAAATCGTCCAAAAATACCCCAAAATATCCCAAAATCACCCCAAAGATCCCCAAAAACCATCAAAAGTACCCCAAAAATATCCCAAAATCACTCCAAAGATGTTTAAGAATGCCCTCAAGAATACTCCAGAAGCTAATCCCCCAGAATCCACCTAAAGGACCCAAAGCATCATGTTAAAAGTGTCACCCAGAATCACCTCAGAATATCCCAGAAATCGCTTCAAATTATTTAAAGATTCTTCAGAAATGATCCCAAAATACCCAAAAGCACCCCAGAATTTCCAAAAATCATCCAGATGTGCTCAAAATTCATCCAAAAATACCCCAATATATCCCAAAATCACCCCCAAATACCCCAAAATTCTCCAAAAATATCCCAATATATCTGAAAATCACCCTAAAATACCCCAAAAATACCCCAAAATATCCCAAAATCACCCCAAAAGCCTCCAAAAATACCCCAAAATATCCCAAAATCACCCCAAAAAGCCCCAAAATCCTCCAAAAATATCCCAAAATATCCCACAATCACCCCAAATTATCCAAAAATCCTCCAAAAATACCCCAAAATATCCTCAGAACTCACCCCCCGACCCATTTCCCAATTTTCCCCCTCATTTTCCCCAATTTCCCCCTCATTTTTCCCAATTTCCCCTCATTTTCCCCTCATTTTCCCCAATTTCCCCCTCATTTTCCCAATTTCCCCCCAATTTCCCCCAAATTTCCCAATTTTTCCACCCATTCCCCCTCATTTTCCCAATTTCCCCCAAAATTTCCCAATTTTTCCCCCAATTTTTCCCTCATTTTTCTCATTTTTCCCTTCATTTCCCCCTCATTCCCAATTTTCCCCCCATTTTTTCCCTTCATTTTCTCAATTTCCCCCAATTTTCCCCCAATTTTCCCCCTCATTTTCCCCAATTTTTCTCTCATTTTCCCAATTTTCTCCCCAATTTTCCCAATTTCCCCCATTCCCAGAATTCCTCGTCTCACCAGTTAGAGGAGCAGCCGATCCAGTTGCTCTTCCCGGAGCTCCAGCACGTCCCCAGCAAGTGAGTCCCCCCTTTTTTGGGGTCCCCCTTTTCCCTCCCACCCTTCCCAACATTCCCAACCTTCCCAGAATTCCAAAATTCCCAGAATTCCCATTTTTTTCCCATTTTTTCTCGTTTTTCCCAGCTTTTTGTTCTTGGACTTCAACCCCTCCCAAATCCCCCAAAAAGAACTCCTTGACCTCCCAACCCATCCCAAACCCCCAAAGACTCCTGACCCCCTCCCAAAACCCCCCTTTTCCCTCTCACCCTCAGAATTCCTGGAATTCCCAGAATTCCCATTTTTCCCATTTTCCCTGTTTTCCCAGTGTTTTGTGCTTGGACTTCCAACCCCTCCCAAACCTCCCAGGGCTCCCCAACCCCCCAAAAAGGCTCCAGGACCCCAAACCCCTAAAAAACTCCTTCTTTTCCCTCCCACCCTTCCCACCCTTTCCAGACTCCCAGAATTCCCAGAATTCCCATTTTTTCACATTTTTTCCCATTTTTTTCCCATTTTTTCCCTGTTTTTCCCAGTGTTTTATGGCTGGATGTCCAACCCTCCCTGGCTCCCATCGTTTGCCTCTCTGACCCTCCCAGAATCCCCAAACCCCCAAAAACCCCTTAAAAAAACCCTTTTCCCTCCCACCATTCCCATCCTTCTCAGAATTCCCAGAATTCCCATTTTTTTCCCATTTTTCGCATTTTTCCCAGTGTTTTATGGCTGGATGTCCAAGCCCTTCCAACCCCCCCCAAAAAAGAACTCCTTGACCCTCCCAACCCCTCACAAGCCCCCCCAAAAAGGCTCCAGAAACCCCCAAACCCCCAAAAGCTCCCCCAAACCCCTTCTTTTCCCTCCCACTCCCAAATTCACAGAATTCCCAGATTCCATTTTCCCCATTTTCCCATTTTTCCCAGTGTTTTATGGCTGGATGTCCAATCCCTCCCAAACCCCCAAAAGGCTCCAGAAACCCCAAAGCCCCCAAAAAAGCTCCCCAAACCCCCCTTTTCCCTCCCACCCTTCCCACCATTCCCAGACTCCCAGCATTCCCAGAATTCCCATTTTTTCCCATTTTTTTCCCATTTTTCCCATTTTTCCCAGTGTTCTGTGGCTGGACATCCAAGTCCTTCCAACCCCCCAAAAGAACTCCTTGACCTCCCAACCCCTCCCAAACCCCCAAAAACCCCTAAAACCCTCTCTCCTCCCAACATTCCCATTCTTCCCAGAATTCCCATTTTTCCCATTTTTCCCATTTTTTTCCCATTTTCCCAGTGTTTTGTGGCTGGATGTCCAACCCCTGCCCGGTTCCCGTCACCCACAAACCCCCCCAAAAACCCCCTAAAAAACCCTAAAACTCCCCTTTTCCTCCCACCCTTCCCATTTTTCCCACCCTTCCCATCCTTCCCAGAATTCCCAGAATTCCCATTTTTCCCCATTTTTCCCATTTTTTCCCAGTGTTTTGTGGCTGGATGTCCAACCCCTCCCCGGTTCCCGTCACGCCTCTCCTGACCCTCCCAGGCTCCCCAAACCCCCAAAAAACCCCTAAAAACTCCCCTTTTCCCTCCCACCCTTCCCACCATTCCCAGACTCCCAGAATTCCCAGAATTCCCATTTTCCATCTTTTCCCTGTTTTCCCAGTGTTTTATGGTTGGACTTCCAGCCCCTCCCAAACCTCCCAGGACTCCCAAACCCCCAAAACCCCTAAAAACCCCCTTTTCCTTCCCACTCTTCCCCACCATTCCCAGACTCCCAGCATTCCCAGAATTCCCATTTTTTCACATTTTTCCCTTTTTTTCCCATTTTTCCCTGTTATTTTCCCAGTGTTTTGTGGCTGGATGTCCAACCCCTCCCTGGTTCTCGTCACCTACAAACCCCCCAAACCCCTAAAAAACCCCTAAAAACCCCCTCTTTTCCCTCCCACCCCTCCCACCCTTCCCAACATTCCCAGACTCCCAGAATTCCCAGAATTCCCATTTTTCCTGTTATTTTTCCCAGTGTTTATATGGCTGGATGTCCAACCTCTCTGGTTCCCGTCACCCACAAACCCCCAAAACCCCTAAAAAACCCTAAAAAACCTCCTTTTCCTTCCCATTTTCCCACCCTTCCTATCCTTCTCAAATTCCCTGAATTCCCATTTTTTCCCATTTTTCCCCATTTTTCCCAGTGTTTTATGGCTGGATGTCCAACCCCTCCCTGGCTCCCATCATTGCTTCTCTGACCCTCCCAGAATCCTCAAACCCCCCCAAAAAAACCCCTTAAAACTCCCTCTTTTCCCTCCCACCATTCCCAGACTCCCAGAATTCCCAGAATTCCCATTTTTCCCATTTTTCCCAGTGTTTTATGGCTGGATGTCCAACCCCTCCCCGGTTCCCGTCACCGCCTCTCTGACCCTCCCAGGCTCCCCCAAAAAACCTCCCAAAAAAACCCCCCCAAAAACCCCCTAAAAAACCCCCCTTTTCCCTCCCACCCTTCCCATCCTTCTCAGACTCCCAGAATTCCCAGAATTCCCATATTTTCCTATTTTCCCAGTGTTTTGTGGCTGGATGTCCAACCCCTCCGGTTCCGGTCACCCACAAACCCCCCAAAAACCCCTAAAAACCCCTTAAACCCCCTCTTTTCCCTCCCAGCATTCCCACCCTTCCCATCCTTCCCAGAATTCCCAGAATTCCCATTTTTTCCCTGTTATTTTTCCCAGTGTTTTATGGCTGGATGTCTCAACCCCTGCCCGGTTCCGTCACCCACAAACCCCCAAAAACCCCTAAAAACCCCTTAAAAAAAAACCCTTTTCCCTCCCAGCATTCCCACCCTTCCCATCCTTCTCAGAATTCCCAGAATTCCCAGAATTCCCATATTTTTCCCATTTTTTCCCAGTGTTTTATGGCTGGATGTCCAACCCCTGCCCGGTTCCCATCACTGCCTCTCTGACCCTCCCAGGCTCCCCCAAACCCCCCAAAAACCCCCCTAAAAAACCCCCCTTTTCCTTCCCATTTTTCCCACCATTCCCAGACTCCCAGAATTCCCAGAATTCCCATTTTTCCCTGTTATTTTTCCCAGTGTTTTATGGCTGGATGTGCAGCCCCTGCCCGGTTCCCGTCACCGCCTCTCTGCCCTCGGCTGCCACAGCGGCTTCGTGCGCGTCGCCCGCGTCCAGGAGGACTCCAGAGGTGCCTTCCCCGACATTCCAGAGGGAATTCCCAACTGGAATTACCCCCCTGACCCTCCCCAGTGCCCCTGGATCCCAGTTCAGCCCAGTTCAGCCCAGTTCGGCCCAGTTTATTCCACTGGGATGGAGCTGGAAGTGATTCCACATTTTTCCCTGGAAAACCCCCCTTAAATTCCCACCTGGAATCCCCTCCCCAGCCCCAGTTTATCCCAGTTTGATCCCAGTTGGATCCCAGTGTGATCCCAGTTTAGTCCCAGTTTGCTCCCAGTTTGTTCCCAGTTTATCCCAGTTTGATCCCATTTTAATCCCAGTTTGATCCCAACCTGAATTCCACATTTTCCCTGAAAAACCCCCCTTAAATTCCCCCCTGGCATCCCCTCCCCAGCCCCAGTTTGATCCCAGTCGGATCCCAGTTTTTATCCCAGTTTGATCCCAGTTGATCCCAGTTTAATTCCACATTTTCCCTGAAAAACCCCCTTAAATTCCCCTGGCATCCCCTCCCCAGCCCCAGTTTGATCCCAGTTGGATCCCAGTTTTTATCCCAGTTTGATCCCAGTTGATCCCAGTTTAATTCCACATTTTCCCTGAAAAACCCCCCTTAAATTCCCCCCTGGCATCCCCTCCCCAGCCCCAGTTTGATCCCAGTCGGATCCCAGTTGGACCCCAGTTAGATCCCAGTTTGATCCCAGCCTGAATTCCACATTTTCCCTGGAAAACCCCCCTTAAATTCCCCCCTGGCATCCCCTCCCCAGCCCCAGTTTATCCCAGTTTGCTCCCAGTTTGATCCCAGTTTATCCCATTTGGATCCCAGTTTGATCCCAGCTGGATCCCAGTTTGATCCCAGTTTAATTCCAGTTTGCTCCCATTTTAATCCCAGTACATCCCAGCCTGAATTCCACATTTTCCCTGGAAAACCCCCCTTAAATTCCCCCCTGGAATCCCCTCCCCAGCCCCAGTTAATCCCAGTTTAGTCCCAGGTTTTATCCCAGTTTTGATCCCAGTTTGCTCCCATTTGGATCCCAGTTTAATCCCAGTTTTTATCCCAGTTTATCCCAGTTGGATCCCAGCTGGGATCCTAAAGATCCCAGCCTGAATTCCACATTTTCCTGAAAGTCAGCTTACCCCCTGAACTTCCCTCCTCAGCCTGTTTGATCCCACAGCTTTTATCCCCCAGTTTGACCCTAATTTGAATCCAGTTGGATCCCAGTTTAATGTTGATCCAGCCTGAATTCCACATTTTCCCTGGAAAAACCCCCCTTAAATTCCCCCCTGGAATCCCCTCCTCAGCCCCAGTTTGATCCCAGTTTTTATCCCAGTTTGACCCCAATTTAATCCCAGTTGGATCCCAGTTTAATCCCAGTTTGATCCCATTTTAATCCCAGTTTAATCCCAGCCTGAATTCCACATTTTCCCTGGAAAAACCCCCCTTAAATTCCCCCCTCCCCAGCCCCAGTTTATCCCAGTTTAGTCCCAGTTTTTATCCCACTTGGATCCCAGTTGGATCCCATTTGGATCCCAGTTTAATCCCAGTTTGGATCCCAGTTTAATTCCACATTTTTCCCTGGAAAACCCCCCTTAAATTCCCCCCTGGCATCCCCTCCCCAGCCCCAGTTTGATCCCAGTTGGATCCCAGTTTTTATCCCAGTTGGATCCCAGTTTATCCCAGTTTAATCCCAGCTTTTATCCCAGTTTCATCCCAGCCTGAATTCCACATTTTCCCTGGAAAAACCCCCCTTAAATTCCCCCTCCCCAGCCCCAGTTTATCCCAGTTTGCCCTAGTTTGACCCCGGGGTGAGGAAAGAAGAGGGAGATCCCTGATCCTTTTCCCCCTTTTTTTCCCTCCTGGAACCCCCGGAATTCCCGGAATTCCCTGGAATTCCCAGCCATCCTGCAGAGCTGGAGCCTCCAGCAGGACGGGCCCATCTCGTCCGTGCTGCTCTTCCCGCTGCCCCCGGAGCCTGAAAGTAAGGAAAAAAACCCCCCAAAATTCCCAAAAAACCTTGGAATTCTGCACGGGAAAAGCCCTCAGGATTCCAAGGAAAAGCTCAGAATTCCCAGGGAATTTTTGGGTTTTTAATTCCAGGTGGTCCCGAGGGTTCCTGGAGCCTCCTGGTGAGCAGCGCCCTCGAGGCCGCCGTCGTCTACAGGTGGGGAGTCCTTTGCTTCCCCCCAAAATCCTGGCATTTTACCCCTAAAATTCCCATTTTTTTCCCCCAAAATCCTGGGATTTTACCCCTAAAATTCCCATTTTTTTCCCCCTAAAATTCCCAATTTTTTCCCCCCAAAATTCCCTTTTTTTCCCCCCAAAATCCTGGCATTTTGCCCCCAGAATTCCCATTTTTTTCCCCCCCAAAATCCCGGGATTTTACCCCCAAAATTCCCTTTTTCCCCCTAAAATCCTGGGATTTTGCCCCTAAAATTCCCATTTTTTTCCCCCCAAAATTCCCATTTTTTCCTCTCAATCCTGGGATTTTGCCCCTAAAATTCCCATTTTTTTCCCCCAAAATTCCCATTTTTTCTCTCAATCCTGGGATTTTGCCCCTAAAATTCCCATTTTTTTCCCCCCAAAATTCCCATTTTTCCCCCAAAATCCTGGGATTTTGCCCCTAAAATTCCCATTTTTTTCCCCCCAAAATTCCCATTTTTTTCCCTCCAATCCTGGGATTTTGCCCCTAAAATTCCCATTTTTTTCCCCCCAAAATTCCCATTTTTTTCCTCTCCAATCCTGGGATTTTGCCCCTAAAATTCCCAGTTTTTTCTCCCCAAAATTCCCATTTTTTTCCTCTCCAATCCTGGGATTTTACCCTCAAAATTCCCATTTTTTTTGCCCAAAATCTTGGGATTTTGCCCCCAAAATTCCCAGGTTTTTCCCCCCCCAATCCCAGGGGTTTGTCCTCAAAATTCCCGGTTTTTTCCTCCCAATCCCAGGGGTTTGTCCCCAGAATTCCCATTTTTCCCCCCAAAATCCTGGGATTTAGCCCCTAAAATTCCCTTTTTTTTCCCCCCCAAAATTCCCATTTTTTTCCTCTCCAATCCTGGGATTTTGCCCCTAAAATTCCCATTTTTTTCTCCCCAAAATTCCCATTTTTTCCCCTAAAATCCTGGGATTTTGCCCCTAAAATTCCCTTTTTTTTCCCTCCAATCCTGGGGGTTTGTCCCCAAAATTCCCGGTTTTCTTTCCCCCAAAATCCTAGGATTTTGCCCCCAGAATTCCCATTTTTCCCCCCTAAAATCCTGGGATTTTGCCCCTAAAATTCCCATTTTTTCCCCCTAAAATTCCCAATTTTTTCCCCCCAAAATTCCCTTTTTTTTCCCCCTAAAATCCTGGAATTTTTGTCCCTAAAATTCCTATTTTTTTCCCTCCAATTTCAGGGGTTTGTCCCCAAAATTCCCATTTTTTTCCCCCCCAAAATCCCGGGATTTTACCCCTAAAATTCCCATTTTTTCCTCCTAAAATCCTGGGATTTTGCCCCTAAAATTCCCATTTTCCCCCAAATTTCCATTTTCCCCCTAAAATCCTGGGATTTTGCCCCTAAATTCCATTTTCCCCCAAAATTCCCATTTTTCCCCAAAATCCTGGGATTTGCCCTAAATTCCATTTTTAAATTCCATTTCCTAAAATCCCGGGATTTTACCCCTAAAATTCCCAATTTTTTTTCCCCCAAAATCCCGGGATTTTACTTCTAAAATTCCCATTTTTTCCTCCTAAAATCATGGGATTTTGCCCCTAAAATTCCCATTTTTTTCCTCTCCAATCCTGGGATTTTGCCCCTAAAATTCCCAATTTTTTCCCCCCAAAATTCCCATTTTTTTCCCCCCCTAAAATCCTGGGATTTTGCCCCTAAAATTCCCTTTTTTCCCCCAAAATTCCCATTTTTTTCCCCAAAATCCTGGGATTTTACCCCTAAAATTCCCATTTTTTTCCCCTAAAATCCTAGGATTTTGTTCCTCAAAATTCCCATTTTTCCCCCCCAATCCCAGGGGTTTGTCCCCAAAAATTCCCATTTTATTTTCCCCAATCCTGGGATTTTTACCCTCCTAATTTCCAGGTTTTTTTCCCCCAAATCCCGGGATTTCGCCCCCAAAATTCCCAGTTTTTTTCTCCAATCCCCCTGACCCCCATTCCCATGGAATTCCCCTGGAATTTTCCAGGAATATCCTTGTCCAAGGCCTGGATTCCCCTGACCCCCATTCCCATGGAATTTGCCCCAGAATTCCCATTTTTTTCCCCCTAAATCCTTGGATTTTGTTCCTCAAAATTCCCAGGTTTTTTTCCCCCAATCCCAGGGGTTTGTCCCCAGAATTCCCATTTTTTCCCCCTAAATCCTTGGATTTTGTTCCTCAAAATTCCCAGGTTTTTTTCCCCCCAATCTCAGGGGTTTGTCCCCAAAAATTCCCATTTTTTTCCCCCTCAAAATCCTGGGATTTTACCCCTAAAATTCCCATTTTTTTTCCCTCCAATTCCAGGGGTTTGTCCCCAAAATTCCCGGTTTTTTCCCCCCCAAATCCTGGGATTTCACCCCCAAAATTCCCAGGCTTTTTCTCCAATCCCCCTGACCCCCATTCCCATGGAATTCCCATGGATTTTCCAGGAATATCCTGATCCAAGGCCTGGATTCCCCTGACCCCCATTCCCATGGAATTTTACCCCTAAAATTCCCATTTTTTTCCCTCCAATCCCAGGGGTTTGTCCCCAAAAATTCCCATTTTTTCCACCTAAATCCTTGGGATTTTGTCCCCAAAATTCCCATTTTTTTCCCCCAAATCCCGGGATTTCACCCCCAAAATTCCCAGTTTTTTTCTCCAATCCCCCTGACCCCCATTCCCATGGAATTCCCATGGAATATTCCAGGAATATCCTTGTCCAAGACCTGGATTCCCCTGACCCCCATTCCCATGGAATTCCCATGGATTTTCCAGGAATATCCTGATCCAGGGCCTGGATTCCCCTGACCCCCATTCCCATGGAATTTTTCCAGGAATATCCTGATCCAGGGCCTGGATTCCCCGGTTTCCCTCCTGGGCATTCCCTGACCCCCATTCCCATGGAATTCCCATGGATTTTCCAGGAATATCCTGATCCAAGGCCTGGATTCTCCGGTTTCCCTCCTGGGCATTCCCTGACCCCCATTCCCATGGAATTTTCCAGGAATATCCTGATCCAGGGCCTGGATTCCCCGGTTTCCTTCCTGGGCATTCCCTGACCCCCAATTCCCATGGAATTTTGCCCCCAAAATTCCCATTTTTTTCCCCAAAATCCCGGGATTTCACCCCCAAAATTCCCAGGTTTTTTCTCCAATCCCCCTGACCCCCATTCCCCTGGAATTTCCCAGGAATATCCTTGTCCAAGGCCTGGATTCCCCGGTTTCCTTCCTGGGCATTCCCTGACTCCCATTCCCATGGATTTTTCCAGGAATATCCTTGTCCAGGGCCTGGATTCCCCTGACCCCCATTCCCATGGAATTTTCCAGGAATATCCTGATCCAGGGCCTGGATTCCCCGGTTTCCCTCCCTGACCCCAATTCCCCTGGAATTTCCCAGGAATATCCTGATCCAGGGCCTGGATTCCCCGGTTTCCCTCCCTGACCCCATTCCCATGGAATTCCCAGGAATATCCTTGTCCAAGGCCTGGATTCCCCGGTGTCCCTCCCTGACCCCCATTCCCATGGAATTTTCCCAGGAATATCCTGATCCAAGGCCTGGATTCCCCTGACCCCCATTCCCATGGAATTTTGCCCCCAGAATTCCCTTTTTTTTGCCCCAAAATCCCAGGATTTCACCCCCAAAATTCCCAGTTTTTTTCTCCAATCCCCCTGACCCCCATTCCCATGGAATTCCCCTGGAATTTTCCAGGAATATCCTGATCCAAGGCCTGGATTCCCCGTTTTCCCTGCCCGGCAGCTGCGGCTCCGACAGCGTCGTTTGCGCCCGCGTGGCCGACGTCGACCTGGACGGGACCCCCGAGATCCTGCTGGGAACCTACGGACAGGTGGGCATTTTCCTGGGAATTCTGGGCCTCTGATCCTGCTTTTCCTGGGAATCCTGCCTTGTTTATCCTGGGAATGCTGCTGGGAACCCACGGACAGGTGGGAATTCCTGGGAATTCTGATCCTGCCCTAATCCTGGGAATCCTGCCCTGCTTATCCCGAGATCCTGCTGGGAACCTACGGACAGGTGGGGATTCCTGGGAATTCTGGGCTTGCTTTTCCTGGGAATTCTGGGTCTCATAATCCCGGGAATCCTGCTGGGAACCTACGGACAGGTGGGGATTTCCTGGGAATTCTGGGCCTCTAATTCTGGGAATTCTGGGTCTCTGATCCTGCCCTAATCCTGGGAATGCTGCCCTCCAAATCCTGGGAATCCTGCTGGGAACCTACGGACAGGTGGGCATTTTCCTGGAATTCTGATCCTGCTTTTCCTGGGAATCCTGCCCTGCTTATCCTGGGAATTCTGGGTCTGCTTTTCCTGGGAATTCTGGGTCTCATAATCCTGGGAATGCTGCTGGGAACCCACGGACAGGTGGGGATTTCCTGGGAATTCTGGGTCTCCTAAACCCGGGAATGCTGGGTCTGCTTTTCCTGGGAATTCTGGGCCTCCTAATCCTGGGAATGCTGCTTTGTTTATCCTGGGAATGCTGCTGGGAACCTACGGACAGGTGGGCACTTCCTGGGAATTCTGGGCCTCCAAATCCTGGGAATTCTGGGCCTCTAATCCTGGGAATCCTGCCCTGCTTTTCCTGGGAATTCTGGGCCTCCAAATCCCGGGAATGCTGCTCCCCTAATCCCGGGAATGCTGCTGGGAACCCACGGACAGGTGGGCACTTCCCGGGAATTCTGGGCCTCCTAATCCTGGGAATTTTGGGTCTCTAATCCTGGGAATCCTACCCTGCTTTTCCTGGGAATTCTGGGCCTCCAAATCCCGGGAATGCTGCTCCCCTAATCCCGGGAATGCTGCTGGGAACCCACGGACAGGTGGGGATTTCCTGGGAATTCTGGGCCTCCTCAGCCTGGGAATTCTGGGCCTCTAATCCTGGGAATCCTGCCCTGCTTTTCCTGGGAATTCTGGGCCTCCAAATCCTGGGAATTCTGGGCCTCCTCAGCCTGGGAATGCTGCCTTGCTTATCCCAGGAATCCTGTCCTCATCATTTTCAAATTTCCCCAGTTTTCCTGCGTTTTTTTTCCCCTGTTTTCCTTAAATTTCCCCCAATTTTCTCTCCGTTTTTCTCATTTCTTTTAGAATCTCCCAAATTTTTTTTTGGATTTTCCCCATTTTTATCGATTTTCCCCCCCCCAAGTTCGAATTTTCTCCGTAAAATTTCACCTGAATTCCCCCAAAATTCCCGTTTTTCCCCCCAAATTCCCCCAAAATTCCCCCCCAAAATTTCCCAGGCTTTTCCCCAAATTCTTCTCGAATTCCCTCAAATTTCACTGGAATTCCATCAAATTCCCCCAAATTCCCACAAATCCCCCCGAATCCCCCCCGAAATCCCCAATAATTGTTATTAACTATTATTATTAATATTATTTTTATTTTTCCCCCCCTGCAGGAGCTGCTGTGCTACAAATACTCGGGGGGGGAGGGGCGGGAGTTCCTCCCCCTCTGGTCCCGCCGCTTCCCCTCCCCCCTCCTGGCCCTGCGGCCCCTCGACCTCACCGGGGACGGGCTGAGCGAGCTCGCCGTCGTCTGCCTCAGGGGGCTGCACATCCTGCAGGTCAGGGGGGGCAAAAACACCCCAAAATCACCCCAAAAATGGCCCTAAAACACCCCAAAATTACCCCAAAAATCCCCTCAAAAATGGCCTTAAAATGGCCCCAAAATGGCCCAAAAATGGCCCCAAAACGGCCCCTGGAGCTGGCGGGGGATGGGACGGGCTGAGCGAGCTCGCCGTCGTCTGCCTCAGGGGGCTGCACATCCTGCAGGTCAGGGGGGTCAAAAACACCCCAAAATCACCCCAAAATTACCCCAAAAATCACCCAAAAATCACCCCAAAAATCGCCCCAAAAATGGCCCCAAAACGGCCCCTGGAGCTGGCGGGGGATGGGACGGGCTGAGCGAGCTCGCCGTCGTCTGCCTCAGGGGGCTGCACATCCTGCAGGTCAGGGGGCTCAAAAACACCCCAAAAACACCCCAAAAACACCCCAAAATCACCCAAAAAATCCCCTCAAAAATGGCCTTAAAATGGCCCCAAAACGGCCCCAAAACGACCCCTGGAGCTGCCGGGGGATGGGCTGGGCTGAGCGAGCTCGCCATCGTCTGCCTCAGGGGGCTGCACATCCTGCAGGTCAGGAGACCCCAAAAACACCCCAAAAACACCCCAAAATCACCCCAAAAATGGCCAAAAAATCCCCTCAAAAATGGCCTTAAAATGGCCCCAAAACGGCCCCTGGAGCTGCCGGGGGATGGGCTGGGCTGAGCGAGCTCGCCGTCGTCTGCCTCAGGGGGCTGCACATCCTGCAGGTCAGGGGGGTCAAAAACACCCCAAAAACACCCCAAAAACACCCCAAAAATGGCCAAAAAAACTGCTCCAAAAATGGCCTTAAAATGGCCCCAAAACAGCCCCAAAAACGGCCCAAAACTGGTTCTGAAATGGCCCCAAAAATGGCCCAAAAACGGCCCCAAAACTGCCTCAAAAACCACCCCAAAAACCGTCTCAAACCACCCCAAAAATGAGCCCAAAATGGTCCCCAGAATGGCCCCAAAATGGCCCTAAAAAAGGCCTCAGAACAGCCCCAAAATGGCTCTGAAACGACCCCCAAAATGACCTCAAAACAGCCCCAAAAATGGCCTCAAAATGGCCCAAAAATGGCTCTGAAACTGCCCCAGAATGGGCCCCAAAACAGCCCCAAAACCCACCCAAATTGGCCCAAAAATGGCTCTGAAAGGGCCTCAAAAATGGCCCCAAAACGGTCCCAAAACCACCCCAAAAACTGCCCCAAATTCTCCCAAAAATCCCAGAAATTTCCCCTAAATCCCCCCCAAATTTCCCCCAAAATTCCCCCCAAATCCCCTCAAATCGCCAAAATTCCCCCAAATGCCTGAAAATTCCCCAAAATCCCCCAAAATTTCTCCCAAAATCCCCCCAAATCCCTCCCAAATCCCCTAAAATCCCCCAAACTTCCCCAAATTCCCTCAAAATCCCCCAAATCCCCCCAAATTTTCCCAAAATTCCCCCAAATCCCCCAAATTTTCCCAAAACCCCCCCAAAATTCCCAATTTTCCCCCCCTCCAGCACAGCCTGGAGCCGACGGCGCGGCTGCTCCTGGAGCGGCTCCGGAGGGAGGTGAAGAGGAGGAAGGAGCTGGGGGAGGAAAAGGAAAAGGAAAAAAAGGAAGAGGAAAAAAAGGAAGAGAAAAAGGAAAAAGAAAAGGAAAAAAAAGAAAAGGAAAAGGAGAAAAAGGAAGAGGAAAAAAAGGAAAAAGAAAAGGAAAAAAAGGAAGAGGAAAAAAAGGAAAAGGAAGAGGAAAAGGAAAAGGAAAAAAGGGGGGGAGGGGAAGGAGAAAAGGGAGTGGGAACCCCCCCGACCCCTCCCCCAAATCCTCCCAATCCCAATAAATGACCTGACCCCGAATTCCTGCAGGGTTTTTTTGGGGGAGGGGATTTGGGGGGATTTGGGGGATTTGGGGGTCCCTAAAAGGGGTTTGGGGGTCCTGGGGGAAAATTGGGAGGTCCTGGTTGGGGTTGGGGGAAATTTGAGGCTTTGGGGGTCCAGGAGGGATTTGGGAGGTCAGGGGGTCTTGGGGGCTTACAGGTGGAAATTTGGGGTCTTGGGGGATTTGGGGGTCTTGGGTGGGGTTTGGGGGTCCGGAGGGGTTTGGGGGTCTGGGGAAATTTGGGGTCCTGGGGTGGATTGGGGAGGGTCTGGGGGAGTTGGGGTCTTGGGTGGGGTTTGGGGGTTCGGGAAATTTGGGGGTTTGGGGGTCTTGGGTGGAGTTTGGGGGTCTGGGGTGGAAATTTGGGGTCCTGGGGGATTTGGGGGATCTGGGGGATTTGGGGAGTCTGGGGGAGTTGGGGGTCCTGAGGGGATTTGGGGGTCCTGGGGTGGAAATTGGGGTCCTGGGGGTGTTTTGGGGGTCCCGGGGTTGTTTTGGGGGTCCCTGGGTTGTTTTTTGGGAGTCCCTGGGGTTGTTTTTGGGGGTCCCCCATTGTTTTTTGGGGGTCTTTGGGGGCGTTTTTGAGGGTCCTGGGGTGGTTTTTGGGGTCCCGGGTATTTTTGGGGGTCCCAGGTATTTTTGGGGATCCTGGGTTGTTTTTGGGGGTCCTGGGTTTTTTTGGGGTCCTTGGGGACGTTTTTGGGGTTCCGGGGTTGTTTTTGGGGTCTTTGGGGGTGTTTTCTTTGGGGGGTCCTACGGGGGTCGTTGGGAGGAATTTGGGGGTCCATCGAGTGTTTTTGGGGGTTCCGGGGAGGGGGTTGTTCCTGTGGGTGGGGGCGGGGCCATCGCCATCCCCTCCCCCCACACCGCCTCGCTCCGCCCCTCCCCCGCTGCCTCCCCCGCCCCTCCGCCCCCTTTTTTCTCCCTCCCCCCCAAATGGAGCTTTAACCGCGCCGGCAGCGGAGCGGACCCGGGGGGGAACAGGTACCACTTTGGGGGGTCGGGGGTCCCAATTTACCCCCCTGCCCTCTCCCCACACTCCCCTCCATCCCCCTCCCCCTCATTTCCCACCCCGCCAATCCTCAGGTGGGGAGGGAAAACCCCTGACCCCCTAAAAAGCCCCCATTGGGGTCTCCCACCCCCACCAGCCCCTCCCCACCCCCTCGACACCCCCTCCTCCCGACCCCTCCCCTTTTTTTTGGG